TCAGGGTGGGACTGAGCAGCAGGTAGGCCAAGGTGGGCACCATGTTATTAGGTATCTGCTAGAGACCTCCTCTTCAGGAGGAACAGTAGGTGAGGCTCCTTCAGAAGCCCTGGTCTTCATGGGGCACCTGTACTCCCCTGCTACCTGTCAGGAGAAGAATTCAGACACCTGGGAGCTCTCCAGGGTGCATTTCTTGGCACCGGTGATAGGGAATTGAGAGGGAAAGGTTCCTGTGGAGGTGCCACCACTGTGGGATGAACTAGTTTTAACACACCACTAGGGTTAAAACTTAGGGGAGACTAAGAATTCGAGGGTAAAATCCCTGGATGGAATGCTGTCGACATGCTCTCCATACAATGATAAACATCTACTCAGAGGGATGGAGCAGAGACTACGCAGCCCTCTCCATTCAAATACTGGCAGAAAGAAGGACATTGTGGTACTTTGTTCAGGAGACCATACAGTACCTGTCAGTCAAGGGGGATGGATTAAGGTGTTCTACTGGTGAGTCAACGATCATGTTGAACCCTCTCTTCAAATGCCAAGCCACGACCACCACCCCACCACCCCTATTAGGCATGGCAGGAGAACTTTACACCAATCAGAAATACAAAAAAAAGTAAGTTGGGAATAGGGGAATAGTTGAGGAAGATTCCAACGAAATTGCTGGGATCAGTCGACAGGTTGAACCTGTCTTCCCCTTATAGGGACACCTATTAGGTAAGAAACATACTCTATGCACACTAAATAGTACTTTTATGATTAGAGTTTGTTTGTGCTTGTTTCGCTTTGTAGTAGAGTAGATTGCTTTAAACACATTTTTTCAGTCAGACACTATCACCGATGACCCCCAAATCTTATTAATCTGTCACAATTTATTTTAATAAAGTGTTATTCTATAAACTGTTAGAGTGAGTCCTTTACAGGTGCTGGCGGTTGCTAGTAGTGACTTTGAATTTGAAGACATCACTTTCAACAATGTAAAAAAATAAAAATCCCTTAAGGGGAAGTTCATTTCACACTGACCATGAGCACTGACTAAAGGCTTCTCAAGATCTTAGTCTTCCTCTTGCTTTTTTGCAACTGATGCTTAAAAAGTACTTTGAAGTAGAAAACAAAACATTAAAAAGAAGAAAAAAATGTACAAGTTAAAGGTGACAAAACTCACATAACTAAACCTGAAAAGAATCAGATTTTTCATTAAACAGATGTTCAACAGGCTGCTTCTGTAACTGGATAAGCCTCGCTCCTTTCTTACACCCTAATGGGATGGAGGGGATGTAACCAGTAGAGGCTGAGGTACTTAACACCTTCTCTGCCTCAGTTTTCAACCATAAGGCAGGTCACCCTCAGAACAACAACCTCAGAACCTGGGCTGGTAGACAGGAACAGGGAGCTGAGTAGCCCATCTGTTATCCAGGAGGAAGCAGTTAGTGACCTGCTGTGCCACTTAAATGCTCACGTCCATGGGACCACAAGGGATCTATCTTGGGGTGATGAGGGAGCTGGTGGAAGCATTTGCCAAGCTGCTTTCCATCATTTATCAGCAGCCTTGGCTCACCAGGGAGGTCCCAGCTGACTGGAAGTTGGCCAATGTGACACCCATCCATAAGAAGGGCCAGAAGAAAGTTTTGGGGCCTGTTAGCTTGACCTCAGTGCCCAGCAAGGTTATGGAGCAGATCATCCTGATCACACGGCACCTCCAGGACAGCCAGATCATACGCAGCCAACACAGATTTAGGAAGGACAGATCCTGCCTGACCAACATGATCTCCTTTTATGATCAGGTGACCCGCCTGGTGGATGAGGGGCAGGCTGGGGATGTGTCTGCCTGGACTTCAGCACAGCCTTTGACACCATCTCCCACAGCAATAATAATGGCCAGTCTTCGCGAGCGAAGATCCGGGGAAGGTCTTTCCACCTTCCAGCCTGCGCATTGGATTTTTTAGGTGAGACACAGTGTGCGCGGAACTGAGCCCACCCTTTAATCCTAAGGTTCATCTGCCGGGGCCAAGCGAGCTTGGACGGTGGCAGTGAGGTCCTTAGGACGTAGGTGGGTTGCCTTTAAGGGCTAACGAGCCCCACCTGCCCGGGAGTGTCCCTGACCGGGAATCGAACCCGGGTCTCTGCGGTGATAGCGCGGCGCCTTTACCACTAGACCACCAGGGGTTCCAGACGAGGTGCCATTACATCTCTGTGGGGGAGGATGACCTTAAACAAAAAATTAATTCAGTCTGTTTTGGGAATTTATTTATATTGTAGACAGGGATAAGAAGCTGAATAACCCCCCTGTAATCCAAGAGGAAACAATTGGCGACCTTCTGAGCCACTCTGATCCTCACAAGTCTATGGGACCAGATGGGATCCACTCAAGCGTGATGAGGGACCCAATCCACTCTCCATCTTTCACCAACAGTCCTGGCTCTCTGGGGAGGTCCCAGACGATTGAAAGCTGGCGAATGTCACACCAATCCACAAAAAGGGCCGGAAGGAGGACCCGGGAAACTCCAGGCCTGTCACCCTGACCTCAGTGCCCAGCAAGGTTATGGAGCAGATCATCCTGAGTGCAATCACACGGCACCTACAGGATAGCACAGGATCATAGCGCAGCCAGCACAGGGTTAGGAAGGACAGGTCCTGCCTGACCAACATGATCTCCTTTTATGATCAGGTGACCCGCCTGGTGGATGAGGGGCAGGCTGGGGATGTGTCTGCCTGGACTTCAGCACAGCCTTTGACACCATCTCCCACAGCACACTCCTGGAAAAGCTGCAGCCCAGGGCTTGGACAGGGCACTCTGTGCTGGATTAGGAACTGGCTGGAGGGCCGGGCCCAGAGTGGTGGTGAACGGGGCTGCATCCAGTTGGAATCCAGTCACCAGTGGTGTCCCCCAGGGATCAGTGCTGGGCCCAGTTCTGTTTAATATCTTTACTGATGATCTGGATGAGGGGATTGGGTCCACCATTACCAGATTTGCAGAGGAAACCAAACTGGGGGGGAGTGTCGATGAGCTGGAAGGCAGGAGGGCTCTGCAGAGGGGCCTGGACAGGCTGGAGAGTTGGGCTGATTCCAAGGGAATGAGGTTCAACAAGACCAAGTGCCGGGTCCTGCACTTTGTCCACAACAACCCCCCTGCAGTGCTACAGGCTGGGGTCAGAGTGGCTGGAGAGCAGCCAGGCAGGAATGGAGGTGGGAGTTTGGATGGACAGGAAGCTGAACATGAGCCAGAGTGTGCCCAGGTGGCCAAGAAGGCCAATGGATCCTGGCCTGGCTCAGGAAGAGTGTGGCAGCAGGAGCAGGGAAGTGATTCTTGGCCTGCACTCAGTGCTGGGGAGGTCACCCCTGGAGTGCTGTGTCCAGTTCTGGGCCCCTCAGTTCAGGAAGGATATTGAGGTGCTGGAGAGTGTCCAAAGTGTCCAAAGAAGGGCAACAAGGTGGCTGGTGAAGGGTCTGGAGCACAAGTGCTGTGAGGAGATGCTGAGAGAGCTGGGGTTGTTTAGTCTGGAAAAGAGGAGGCTCAGGGGTGACCTCATCACTCTCTGCAACTCCCTGAAAGAAAGTTGTGGCCAAGTGAGTATCGGTCTCTTGTCCCAGGTAACCAGCAACTGGAGAAGAGGGCAGTCTTAAGCTCTGCCAGGGGAGGTCTAGGTTAGACGTTAGGAAGAAGCTTTTTACTGAAAGGGTGATTGGGTGTTGGAATGGGCTGCACAGGGTGGTGGAGTCACTGTCCCTGGAGGTATTTAAGAGACTGGATGTGGCACTTAGTGCCATGGTCTAGTTGACAAGGTGATGTTAGGTCAAAGGTTGGACTCAATGTTCTCAGAGGTCTTTTCCATGCAGTCAAGGAACATGTTTTGGTTTGGTGGTGGTTTGTTGTGGGTTTTTTTGGTGTTGTGGTTTTTTTGTTTCTTTGTTTGTTTTTTGAACTACAGAAAAAATCTTTAAAGAAATATTTTGGTGTACTATCCTGTGTAGACAAGACTGAAAAACCAATGGATGATCATTTTGTTCCTTGATATACAACTGAGGAGTAGTGGCAGCATTTTTCTTTAAACAACAGCAAGTATCGAGAAATGTGAAGCCACTGCTCAGGTATTTCCCCTAAGTTCCCAAATCATTAAACCACAGGTTCTTACAGTGCTTTACATCCCCCCCACCCTCTGCACATGATGTGAGGTGGCATAGAATAACCTGAGGGTCATAGCCTTGCCTCTCCTGGCTACTGAAAAAATTACCTTGTCCTGGCTGGAACCAGGACAGCAGGCTTGGAGTAAGCTTGGAGGCAGTTCTCCTCAGCTTTGCTGATAGGAAAGGGAACACAAAGATAATTCAGGAGCTGCCCATCTGGTCCCACCCCACCCAGCGGGCACAGCCATTTTAAGTCATTAATGGCCAGAACTCTAAGACCATGAACACATGGAGATGCTGCTAAGAGGGATTTCAGGATTTGAAGGTACAATTAGATCAAAGTCCCTGGGTCTTGAAGACCAGAAAGACTTTTGGGCAAGGCAGTGGCAAGAGAGGAGGCTTGCATGTTCCCCACAACCCTGTTAAATGGCTGAAAGGCAGCAGCACCCAAAGCCCAGCTGGTCTCTGCTATGGACTGGAGGAATTACTTGCAAGAAAAAAACCAGTTGATCCTGTTGCCATAAAATCAAACCCCAGATCTGATACTGGTGACATGAAATTTCAAGCCTCCACTTAAGGAACTGCAGCAGTACACAGTCCTATGAAGATGTGCAAGCAGGACCACATCCAACACACTGGGAGAGGAATCAAATGCCACGAGCTCAGGGTCTTTGCCTCAGTGCCTTGCCTGCTGTAGCATACAGCCTTGGAGGGTTCCTAACAGCAGGATCATAGTTGTCCATGCTACTTCCCTTGCTGAACCTGTAATTCAAGGGCTCTGTAAGTGATCCTCCAGCTCACGTGGATTCACCCAGTCTCTCTTGCAGAATGAGACAAAGTTGGCTTGAAAAAACAGTCACAAGTCTCACAAATTCATGTTAAAAAAGGTCTCTTTATTAACTACAACAATGTCCTCCTTTGCATTTCTGCTGTAAGAAACAGATGGAAGTGAAGAGGAAGACTGAGTGAACAGCTGAGGTATTGACAGGCTTAATCACAGCACAGAGATGTCATGGCAGTGCGGCAGGGAGGGTTCTCGATGGCAGCTGAAACAGCCTTTGAAAAGTGACAGGGACAGCCCTGTGTTATGCCACAGAAGAACACCCGCAGGAGAAGTGTGTGGTGCAGAGCTGTGGAACAACCTCCACTACTGATTCTAAGAGCTCTAGAAGAAAAGGCCCTGAACAACCTGGTAACAGCTTTGGAGTACACTGGGCTGGGAGATGGCAGTTTGGATCCCTGCTGGAGGCATTCTGATCCTATGGGTTTTAAAGATGCTACTGATGTTACACACAGATCTGCTAAACAAGGTTACAAAAACAAAAACATGAAAAAGAGAAGGATTGCAGAGAAGGATTTCCACGAAGAGTTGGAGAACGAAAAGGTTGTTTTATTGGCACTTAAAAATTCTCAGCTTGCTTTTCCTAGTAAAAAAACCTTGGAACAAGATCCAAAACATGAAATGTAATAAAAAACAAGAGTTAAAACTGGAAATGAGAAGTTACATAAAACAGAGGGGAAAACCCAGAGTAGCACTTTCCTAACAGGGGAGCAGAAGTAGAGAATCAAACTTGTGCTGGAAGCTCAAGAACTGTCTAAGAGCTGTTAGTCCCATTTTGGTGCCCCCTGAGTGTCAGGGATTAAAGCTTGCATATAGAAGCTGCTCTGAACTGCCATCCAATGAAACTTGGTTCTCTAGAATGTCTGCTGGCTCCTGGGAAGGACAAAGATTTCTTCTTTCACCTTAATAAAAAATGCAGCTTCTCCAGAGAGATTATTTTCATCAGAAGCATCAGTCTGTCACCACAACTAACAAACCTCCAGTATGTGTGAGGAAATGGACACCAGTGGAGCCTGCTCCTCCAGCTAAGGAACACTGCCTCTCTGTGATGGAAGGTGTGCAGGGACAGGGGGATGCTCCTTACCTTTGTAAACTGAAGGATGTTGGGCCCAAATTCCAGATGGAAGCAGTCAGTTTCACTATGCCATGACAAGCACCTGGAATTCAGGTAATGAGCAAAAGCCTTCCCTCTCTCCTGTGGTTTGTAGAACTCAGGACATCTTCAGGACTACAAACAATTAGTGCTAATGATTTTCTGTGCAACAGACATTTAATTTGAAAGGGTTTTTGCAAAACATCTATTACACATCCAGATGTCAAGTGAACCCCAAAGGCCCATTCCACCTGACCCCTCAATGGTAGGCAGCTCTTGCTCACACCATGTGCCTCCAGGTGTCTGGCTGGCAGGGGACTCATTTCTGAGTGTGAGTCCACAGCCACCTTGTCCTAGCAGGCCTGAGAACCTGCTGACCAGCTGGCAAACTCAGACTGAGTCCCCTTGGCCACAAGTGGCCTGTCAGGAGCTGGCTGCAGCCAGAGGGCAAAGGACAGGTGTTTTCCTTGCTGCTGGCACTGGGCCAGATGCCACTCAGTGGTGTAGGGCTCTGAAGGCTCCAGATTCTAGCACCTTAATAATAAAATTACCCGGAAGTGCAAGCTGACCAAAGCAACACACACCTGAGGAGGTGACAACAGAAAGGGGTCACTTTATTGTCAGGTGGTCAAGTTCTTCTGATGTTGCAATTATGTCTCAAAGAAACAGCAGCAGCAGTGTGTGATAAGGTGACTGTAAGCAGAGAACCCAAACTCCAGTGTTCTCCCTTTGACGTTCACAGCCCACGGTGATGGCCCAGGAGGCCATCCTCTCCTCAGTCTCTTGGCTGTTAGCATGGTGGCAGTTCCACCAGCTTATGGTGACTTCCTGTTCAGGAATGTGCCAGCGCCAATCCCCCCCGATCTACTGAGGTTCCATTCCCTCCACTCATGCTCATACAGGGACATCTCCTTTCAACTGCTCAAATTCATGGCTTGGCTTTCTCTACCTCAAGTTGAGTATCTTCCACGTCTAAGTCTTGACCTTCTCTGCCAGAACTCAAGGTTTATTTTTTAGTTGCTGCCAGGTTCTTACTGTAGGCAACCTGCTAGGCAGGATGCATCTAAAACTGCAGGTTTAGATGCAAGAAGGGCACTCACACTTTTACATTGCTAAAAACACGCAACCCACCCATCGTATCAGGCACAGTTCCCATTTCTTTTAAAAATAAATATTTATCAGCAAAAGAAAGAGATTCAGAGAAGTACAATGTCAAAAATTTTCCTGCCAACAGCACAAATGCTTTTCATGTACAGTCATAGGAACAAGTTGCACACCAACAGGAGCACTGCTTAAAAACCCTCTTCTGTCATCAGTTGCCCAGGCCACTCCTGCAGGAATCCACATCTCCCACTGCAGCAGCCAGCTCCTGTGTACTTCTTCAGGACTCATACTGGGGCTGCTCAATCTCCTTTCATGATCAAGTCCTCAATATATGCATCCAGTTCATCATCTGTATTAATATCAATGTCCTGAAACAAGAAATACCAGTGAGAAGTGAATCTTGAAGAAGAGTGCAAGAGTGAAGAAGCCAGAGCAGCTCAGCATCCTCTTCAACCTGTGGTCTACTCAGCCTCTATGCCGCAACCTCCAGCACCCATCAGCTGCTGACAGCTGTGGTGACAGCATCTCCAGCTTTCCCTGTCAGCGCCTGACAGACAACATCTGGAAACCTGTCAGCACCTGAGGCTCAAACAATGTACTTAACTGATGGATTTACTGAGCGGATCTGGGGTTTGGTTGGGATTTTTTAGTTTTAACACATTTTCGTAACAGGGAACAACTGCTTCCAGCTGTTTTCAGTAGCTTCTCCATTGGTTGATCCTAATTCTATTTAAGTAGTTTTATAACTTAAAGTTTATTTATTTAGGATTTTACTTAAATATATATTTGCTATTTTAATTAAATACTTAATAGTATAATTAATAAATTGGTTTCACCATAAGATTTTTTTACATCATTTGTTTAAAAGTTTGCATTCCTCTAAGAGGTTCAGAATCTGCCCAAGAATGGGGCCTATGCCTGGGAAAATTCTGCAGCAGAATGCAGAGAACAAACAGAACTTGTGCAGTATGTACATGCCATGACAAATCATCCTGTGAGAATTAACACTCAGTGGGACCCCCAAGGGCCTGGATCCCAAGAGTGGGCAGGGACAGCAGCTGTGCACTTGTCTGCTTCTGATGGGCTGAGTCTATGTTGCTCCCAACTGAGGAAGGAGCTGGAGCCCAGTAAGATGCTGGACTGAAACACCTGGAATGCCCAGAGGGCCTGGGCCAGGTGGCTACTCTGGGGCAGCTCAGGGTTTGCCTCTCTTCCTCACCCACCTCCTGCACTTTCTGTAGAAGGGCCATGATGTTAGTCCTCAGTTTCTGTAGTTTCTCCTCTGTTTCCCTCAGCTTCCTCTCTGAGTTCTGGAGGTTTTCCTCACAGGCTTTGGCCCGGGCATCAGCGCGTGTCTGATACGAATTGCACAGGTTCTGCAGACCCACCTCATACTGCCTGAAATATTCTTTCTGCAGCAGACAAAACACAATAGATGACATGTGAAGAGAAAGCACCGAGCATCACAAAAACAGCAGCACTCACAGGCTTGTAGAAGAACCAAACCCTCCCTACAGCACATCTCTGCACACCCCACCCAAACTCACATTTATATCTGATTCTACCTATTGCAGCCAGCATGAAACTCACGGGAGTTTTCACATTCTTCCAGTATCAGGACTGCCCCCAAAGCTGCCTGAATTTAGATTAAGGGTGTTAACGTGTTTCAAAAAGCCTGAACTCACAGATATGCTGCAGCAAGACTTGACAGCCCCTGTACACTGTGAGTGTCCTTGGTACAGATCACCCAGACAACACAGCCTGTCACTGGTAAGTAGGAACACCTGCACTCGCCAAACACCCCAGACATGACCAAGGTGCCCTGTGGAAGCAGTGGCTGTGGTAACTCCAGTAGATGCCTGAGTTAACAGAGAGGAGGAGATGAGAGAAACTGCCAATACGCACACTATGAGCATGGGAGTGCCAAACAGCACTGGCTCTGGTCATCTGCAGGTGGTTTGTCCCATGTGCAGGTGCCTCCTGGAAAGGTCTCCCTTGCTGGTATGTCAGAGAAGGGAGAAGTCAGAGAGGTCAGTTCCCTTGCTCTGCATTCCAGCCAGCTGGATCTCCCAGCACCAGCTCACAGACACTGGTGGAAGCTCAGCCCCACCCGTACTCAGATAAATGGAGGCCATGTTCTCTTCCAATTTTAAGATTACCTACACCTAAGTTATAAGGCTGGGAGCAAAAACTACAGATGTGTCTGCATCCTGCTTCTACAAACCTCTAACCTGGCATCTCTATTTTAACAGCATTCTAGTTTAACAGCATTCCCACATAGTTGTATGGTAACTAGAAATGTCCTCAGACAATGTCACAAGACTCAGAGCATCTCTCACAGCTCTCATTCTTTTCCTCACCCATGTCAGTCTGCCAAGGATCCAAAATCACCTTTTCAAGAGTGTGCTCTTGCATCAACAGTATGCACATTTGCCATAAGAAGGGAATATGGATGGGAAAACCCCAAAACTTACTTTTCTAGAAGTAGTGGACTTACCAAGGGAAATGCCAACAAGCCTTCCGAGCTCATGGAACTCAGCTCGTTCTTGGAGATTGGAAAATTTGGAGGCAAGAAGTACCGCAAGCAGTTCCTGTGCAGGAAAGAAAAGCATAAAGCCAGAGCTGGGAGTTTAACAAGCTGAAGCAATCAGACTGCAGAGCTCCCAAGCGCCTGCAGTGAACCCACCGAAGGATTTGGACTAGAAGGTCAACTGTTTCTTGGCTGCTGCTGGGACCAGTGGTGTCAGGCTCAATTCTGACGCAGTCTGAGGTAGAGGGTTCAGCCACAACCACCTCTTCTTCTTGCTGTGTGTCTGGAGCCTGGTACTCAGGAGAGGGAGGCTTCATCAGCCTCACATCCTCACTGCCCTTCTCTACCCTGAGAAAAAGTATTAAGGAAACATCAGGAATCTTTTTCTACACTGGACATATCTGAAACACCATTAACAGTTTAACCAGAACCTGTACCCAAGTGTCCCTCAGACCTCTAGACACACAACAGCTGCCTCCATGGCATGACTGATGAAGTCTATCATGCCCATTCGTTATGAAGCCACTGCACAGTCCTGAGCTCACATGCTCCCTGACATGACAGCAACATATTTGTCTTCAGCATCTATGGCAGTAAAGTAGCCCCTTCTTTCCAAAAGCAAAACAAGCCTCCAAAATCCAGTAGCTTGAGATAGTTACCAGCGATCCCGTGGTGTGGTATCTGTAGGGACATAATCAAACTTCACCTTCCACCGGATCGCATGTCTGCCCCTTTCTACAGCTGTGACACGGCCCGTGAACCATTCCTTGTTCACACGCACCTCCACGTGCAGCCCCTTATCTGTGAGGAGGAAGCAAAGGTGTTTGCAAACCTTCAGCTGCTGGAAAGCACATTTTGCAGGAGCCCTTGAAATTCAGGCACCTCAGGGGGGAGCACACTTGAACTGATGACAATGCCCCCAAACAGTACAGACACTATCAAAACACAATGGGCACACAGCTCAGCTCTTGTTGAGAAACATTAAGATGCGTGAAAATGAGCTGGCTTTCCAGACAGGTTTCTCCTGTACTCCAGGCTGTTTAACATGGGCTTTCCAGGCTTGTGAAGGCCTCTAGGACAACTTGCCACATGTCCCTAGTTTCCAGACAGCTCCTTGGAAGCATGCTGAAGAGATGCCCTTCTCTGTCGGAATGTGCAGTACCACACTGGCTACCACCTTTTTTGGGGTGTCCCAGCCCCTCTTCTCTCATAGCAGCGCAGCAGGCCTGGATACAGTACTGACCACTTGCCAGCTGGAATGGCTCCATGATCCACCAGGAAGAGTAAGTGTGTTATCAGTTACACCCCACAGCCCAGTCCCACACCTGTCAGCATGATGCAGCCCTCAATCACAGACCCTCCCATGCCACAGTTGCCTCTGGTCTAATCAAGGGGTTCCCAGCCAAAATGTTTCATGCAAGTTAGAGTCATCTTGGGGTTTGGGACTCAAATTTACACTATTTCTTATTCAAAAAGCTCATTACTGAAATCACAGGTTTTACTGATGAGTCTAGTTCTGCAAGTTCTTTTCTATGTCAGATACCAGCAGCACCCCAATGGCTCATTTCTCACCTTTCTGAGCTTTCTTCAGTTCCACCAGCTCTTCCTCTCCAGCACTGTCTGTTAGCTGGGAGCAGAGAGAGGGCTCACATTAGCTGCCTCCCACCAAGATTAGAAATGCCAGACAAAAACCTTCTGCTGGGGAAACCAGCATACTCTCACCTCCACTACCACCTCATTGGAATCCTTCTCTTCTTTCACTGCCACAAATTTTCCTCGTTTTGTCCTCTCCTTTTTGTGCTCCCCCTCCTCTTCAGATCCATTCTCTGGGATGTTCAAGGTCCTCTTCCGAGTGCTGGAAGCCTGTAGGAAGCAAACAAGCTCTAGCTGTCAATTCCAGCCTGCTATCAACCAAAAACCTTATTTTTAGCCAAGTTAAAAAAAAAAGAGAAAAAATGCCCAACATCCAGTTTGGAAGTTAATCAGATTTTCTGAAAGATTTTAGAGATGCAATGTGATCACCCCACCACTTCACATTCTTTTTTTTTTCCAAAGAAACAATCTGGTCTAACAAGAGAGATGAAACAAGTCTTCTTGAGGGGTGTATATGGCACCCTAACCCAAGAGTAAAGTAAAAGTTCTCTTGTCTTGTGCAGGGCCTACAGTGCACATCACACGGGACAGAGCAGACAGGTTGAGCAGGGTAGTGGGTGAGGAGCTGAGGGGTTTTATCTTGTTGACTCTCACCTGTGAGCATTTGCCAGAGGCAGATTTCTTTACTGCTGGCACCTTGGCAGCTTTTGGACTGGGTGTCTCACGTGGGCTTTTAGGGCTCTGCAGGCCAGCAGAGAGAGACTTCATGGCTGTACCTGGTTTGGCAAGAGTTTTTAAAGTGCTGTTAGACTTCCCAGATGTCACAGTGTTCTGGTGTGTCCTGGAAGTGCTGGCCTCCTCTGTGAAGAGCATGCTGGCCAGCTTGGAAGAGCTGGTATTCGGACAATCTGAAGAGCTCTTTTTCAGCTGACTGCTGAACTTGGGAGGAGGGGAAGATCCTGGTGGTCTGCTGGGAGCATTCTTGATTACATCAGGCAAAGGAGGAGATCGTGGGCGCTGAGGTCGAGTGTGCTGAAACAAACGTGGATACAGAGAGAGGAAGGGGGACAGAGTGAGGAACTGCTGTTCAGAACAGCTAAGGAAGCACGAAAGAGTAAAAGCCTACAGCAGTATGCCATTTACCTCTCCTGAAGGTCGTGCGGTCACTTCCAGAGGCAGTTTCTTCAAGTCAGCTTGAGATCGAATAGGAGTGGTTTTCTATTTTTAAAAAATAAATTGGAAAGGTCATCTTAACAAGCTGCCAGGGGGTGCCTGAACCCAGCCCCACAGCCTTCCAGGTTAAAAACAACAATTACAAGGAAGTGTGTTCTGTGTCCTTCAAGAGACATCCCTTCAGATGTCACTCCTGTTTTCCCATCAGAAAATGAAATGCAAGCTTAGATGCTTGTTTTCTGTTATTAAAACAAACCCTGACCCATGAAGGAGCATAGGTGGCATCAGACTCAAAGCATCCCTTTGCACTAGGAGGTCTCTCAAACCTGCTCTGCTTAGCTGGAGACCTCCAGACTCACCTGCAGAGCTTCCAGTTTTTCCTGCTGCTGGCGGATTTTCTCTGACAGTTGTTTCTGCTTTTCCTCATGTGATTTTGGGTCTTTTTTCAGAGTTCCCAGTGGTACCTTCTGTTTCTGCTCTGCAGCCTCACATCTAGCATGGAGGGAAGGCAAGATAAGATCAGCAAGGACAGCAGAACCAGTGCCATGCTCATGCAGGATTGCCCCAACATCCCATCCCAAATGCAGCAGGAAAACCACTTTCCTTTCTGCAGTAGCCACAATCTCAAAAGCAGTGGTTTTCTTCTTCAGAAACAGATATGATTTAAGGAGCAAAGGTACAGCTGTTAATTAAACATATTTATGCTGGGAATCACCAATTCAGAGCCCAAGAACAGCCGTGACTGGTTTCTGTACTGCATCGGTACTCCAAACTTTTTCAGTAATTTTCCTTCCTATCAGCTTATGTCTTCATATCAGTTCCTCTTTTTACAAGGCTTCCTTTCCCTTCAGAAAGGAAAGCACAGTACTAGTAAGCCATGAAGACATCATTCCCACAAGCCTTCCAGCAGCAGATGCCCTCCGGCTTGCCACCCTAGGCCAAACAGTTTCCTCTGCAATATCCTGTAGCTATTTGCTTTTCCCATCTGTTCAGCCTATGGCCTGAAACACAAAACAGTGGTGAGTATCCTACTCCCATAGGTCCTCTCAGGTGCAGAATCTTGGAAGAGTCCTTGAAAGAGGAGGAAAACATAGGTACGAAATACTCTTTCAAGTGTACTGGCATCATCCTCCAAGTGCTGGCTGAGCAGCTGTCCCTCAGGAGCAGCCAGAGGAGAAGGAAGGGACTGAGCAGTGCTCAGGATCATCTCCTGTCATCAAAGGGAGTCATGGACAGGCACACCAGGATCACGGGGGGTGAGGTCATGCAGGGATGGTGTGAGCCAGGAAGGCAGAAGCACCGAGACAGCCCTTGTACAACACAAGAGATCCAGCAGATCCCACACTGAGTCTAAGCTAAGCTGTCAGCCTGCAGGTGTGAACCTTACAGGTAAAGGAAGGACCCTGCTCTCACTGCAGATCACTCAGAGCTCCAAGATGCTGAGGAGAGATGATTTCATCAAGATCTCTGATCCTGAACCTGCCAACTGATGTGATATCTCCCAGTCTGCCAGATATACACTGTGATCAGCTTTGTCAGTGGGAAGGAACACAAGCAGCAGTTTCTCCATCAGCCTCTGAAGGACTGCTGGGGCATTTTTCATGGAGTGGTTCCATGTGTCATCACTGAAAAATGACTGTCTGACAGTCATGGTGTCTGGTTTAAAGGTAAACTGGCAGGAGAAATAAACTCAACTCAAAAGAGATTATAAGACAGAATTACAATTTAATAAAAATAATACAATAAAAATTATTATACAGTCAAACAATTGGTTTTAACCCACAAAAACGCAGATGTGTAACCTGGAACCCTGGGGCACAAACAGAATGATGTTCATTGACCCCTGTGCTGACCCCCACGTGGGCCCCCCGAGTTCAAAAGTAAAAGGAGAGGTAAAACCTGTTGGTGTGAGTGGTGGCTGCAGTCTGGTCGAGGTTCTAGTCCTCCTCTGGATTGCACAGGTGGTACCAGAAGTCCCAAGACCCCAAGATTATATACACTCAGGTTCAGGTGGGAATGCCCAGCACCTCTCCCAGGGCGGGGAGTTCCACAGTGGGTGAATGTGAGTTCTGGAAGTGAGGACAGGAACATCCTCCTGTCTCACAGGCCTCTTAATACCCAGCTTATAGCCTGAGGGGTCAGGTGAGGTCTGGGCAGCTGCTCCAAATGGTCTATTGTTAACAGTTTTTGGGATACACCCACACAGTGATGAACTGGTCCCAGCTGCTCTAACTAGGACACACCAGAGCTGCAGTTTCCAAAGATAAAGCTGAACAAGTGGCACTGCACACAGGTTTCCCACTGGAGAAATGTTTCTCCCAGCCTATGGTGTGGCCTGAGGCCAGAAGCATTGCCAAGTTGTGCCTTACAGCACACAAAAGAATGAAAATGCCATTAGTTCTTGGACATGAAAAATTCAGACAACTCACAGCATTCAAACCCACAGATTGTATCACTGGAGGCAGCCAGTCAGAACAAAGCAATTATCTTGCTAGTCAGGAACTCAGGACCCAGACTGTGGTGGTGCTCAAGGAGCTTTGAGACACAGAGTCATCTTCAGCTGGTGCTTCAGCCACCAGTTCAAATACCATTTAGGACCCAACTGGATGTCAGGTAGGAGAAGAGAGGCAAGCAAGCCTGGCACTGCAGTGTGAACAGGCACGCTGCCTTTCCTATGACAAAGTGAGCAATGGTGGCACCTTGTGCTGACCCCAACACAGACTGTGGCACTGGCGGAGGTGATTGCTTCACATGACAGAGACAGAGGAAGGGCACTCAGCTCCCATGATCTGGGATAACACACCACCAGCAGCCACTGAGGTGTAGGTGGACAAACCAGAAGGCTGGGGAACAGCTCAGTGCCAAGAGCAAGACACTGTGCCAAGGCAAAAAACAAGCAAAAGAACACCATGTGATCTCTGATGCCAGGAGATCAACACCAGCTCTGACACTGCTTCATTTTCAATTTGGCTGGATGACACTCTGCACAGACCCTCATGGCACACAAGCTTGAGGACCCCACCTATGGTGGCTGTGTTTCTCAAATCCTGCTAACCTTCAAACACTACAAATACCAGAAACAGTCAGGACACAGAGGTGGAGAGTGTTCAAACTCTTTGCACAAGGACATGGCAGGAAAAATCAGGCAGCACAGCACCTGGAACTGGTCCCAGTCAAAAGCCAGATGAGTGCTGGAGCAACTTCTGCTGAAAATCTTCTGCCTCATGTAAAGGACACCACTGCACTTGTTGCTGGAAAGTACATGAGAGCCTACTCAACCCAAAAATGTTCTGGAGTTATTTATTCTCCCCGAGTAAGACTGCTGAGATCCCTTCTGAAGCTGAAATGACCAGAAGATTGGATCACCTGTGTCAAGTGCCTCACCTGCCCTTTCCCAGCTCCCTGCATGGGGAATATGAGATGGCACAGCATGCTCTTCAGAGGCAGTCAGGTTCACTACAAAAAACATCCATCTCATGTGAAATGCAGCCAAACCCTCCACCCACTGAATTTTCATGGTATTGTAAATACAAAATTTAAATTCTTTCATGCGTAAATTAAGTTCCTGGTAGGTGACATGACAAAAACCCTGTCTACAGATGGAAGAGCACAAAGGCAGGTGGGGGGACCTGAATAACGCCCTTCCATGGCTACTCCCTAGCCATCCTAGGAGCCACCAGCCCATCTAGGACCCATTTCCACAAGCCCAGAGGCCCAAAGCAGTTTAAGGGGATGTAAATTGGGTTTTCTGGGAATTGGAGAATGCAAATCTGTTCAGCAGAACAGATACCCCATTTGGGCTACTGCCAGGGCTTTCCCAGAGCAGCCTCAGCCCCAGTGTCCAATCAGTGGGAGCAGTCCTCTGTAACATCTTCTGGACCAATAGGAGGCACCAAAAGCAGGGAAAGAAGGACTGAGATGATTTGGGAAGAATAAACATGGGAAAACAAAGAAATAATAGGCTGAAAAGTTCCAGTTGTCTAGTCAGTGCACCTCTGTAACCTTGCGTCTCCTCTTTTCCTGGGTGAGGGGTTCCATTCCACACATGCACCTGAGTACAGTGGTGCAAGCGCCAGCAGCTGGAGTGGGACCATTGGTTGCAGGGGCCCATGTGCCTGAGTGCCACCATCTGCAGTGACTACTGGCATGTGCATGAACATGAGTCACAGCAAATGCTGGGACAGAGGAGCCAGCCAGGAGGTGACCTGGGAGCAGGGGTGACCTGCCGGAGTTGACTACCAGAGGGACCAGGGAGTCCTGCCTGATAGAGATGGGTATGGGGGTGTAGGCAGAGCTGTGGGTGTCTCTAGACAGAAAGGAACTGGGAAGAGCAAAGATCTCCATCTGATCAGGATGGAAAGATGCTCAAGACGAGACACTGGGAGATCTGTAGTGCGTATGTTATGTGTAACCACAGGAGGTCTGTACCCCTCGCTCCCTGGAACCGCAGGCTGTAGGGCCCATCTATGCCAGTGCAAGTAACCAGAGAGACAGGGGCCAGATATGGACATGAGTATTTCCACTAGTGGTCCCTCATCATGACCAACCAAAAGGGAAAAGGATGAGGCTGCTGGTGCAGTCTGTGTGAGTGCTGAGTGTGCTGATCTGCGGGGCTGGACATACATGTCTCTGTACATACATGGTCTGTATGTTTGTGTGTGTGTCTACCAGCAACACCTTCCCAGCTTTGCTACTGCTTCTACCTGAAAGGCTGGATATGTGGCAGCCCCTCTTCAGGCTCCAGGCTCAGCCCAGCCCCAGCAGTTTGGCCAGAAACAACCTCGGCACAGCCACACTCCTCAGAGCTCCACAGCAGGACACACACATGGAAAAACAGGGAAGTCAGAATAAGTATTCTTCCAATGGCAGGTGCCAAGAGGAAGTAGTCAGAAAATCAGTACTTTCAAATAGAAACATCAACACTCTGTAGCCTTTTCAGCCACAGATGTTAAAATTTTTATTCCAATTAAAAGCTACCATCTGGATTCATCCCCTTTGAGCAAAGGCACCTGAATTTCAGCAGAGTAGCTTCCCTCCTTACACAACACAGACAAGAATCGGCTTCCAGCCATGTTGCTCTCCAAAGAGGAACAGCCTGGAGCAATCATTTTCCTCACTCAAATAAATTACTAGTTTCTGCCTATATTTTATAACTGTAAAACACATCGCTGGGAAGTGCTGCTCCCTCAAGCATGCAAAATGTCCCCCCTGGGCCCACCTCAACCCAGTGGAGTTGCTGAAGTTTGGTGTCTGATGGGTGGGAGCTGGAGGAGCAATAAAGACCACTGCAAAGCCCCGCTGAAGACGTGTCACTCCCTGCCTGCACCATGACAATTCTCCAACTGCCATCTATGCTGCCCACGGCAAAATCAACATGATCTAAGGCTACAGTAGTATTTCCAGTGCCAGTGCAGAAAAGCCACAAAGGATCCGAATTTCACCAAATCATTGGCTGAGGCTGGAGGCATCTCTGAGGTCCTTCTGGTCCCACCCCCTGCTCAGGCAGGGCCACCCAGAGCCAAGGGCCCAGGACCATGTCCTGGAATATCTCCAAGGATGGAGAATGCACACCTTCCCTGGGCAACCTGGGCCAGGGCTTGGTCACCCTCACAGGGAAAAAAGTGACATGCAGAGGGACCCTCCTGTGTTCTGGTTTGTGCCCATGGCCTCTGGTCCTGTCGCTGGGCACCACTGGAAGAGCCAGGCTCTGTCCTCTTTGCAGCCTGCCTTCAGGTGTTTGTGTACATTGATGAGAGCCCCCTGAGCATGCTCAGCTCCAGGGTGGACAGCACACACTGCTGCCGGGCTTGTTTCTCCTCAGGGATAGGACTTTGCATTCTCCCGGTTGAACCTCAGGAGGTTCCTGTTGGCCCATTTCTCCAGCCTCTGCAGGTCCCTCTGGATGAATTCATGACCCTCTGGTTTGTGAGCTGCTCCTCCCAGTTTGGTGTCATCTGTCACTTGCCGAGGGTGCCCTCTGCAATTTGCACATCACACAAATGTCCACCAACATTCAGCTCTACATGTCATCACTGCTTTTTCACAGGCTATGAGCACAGTTTAAAGGCACCGAATTACTGCCAGTCCCTCCAACTGTTCTCAAAGACCAGACGACCAGAAAAAAGCTCCAAATGTACAGGCAAGACACACTGCAGAAAAGTCTTAATATTAACTGATTCTTACCTGTCTTGTTCAGGATCAGGGTTCATGGAGCACACCCAGCTATCAGGGTAGTTCTTCTCCACAGAGCTCAGCTGGAACGGGAGAGTCCGCCACTTCAGACATACATCTGTCACACAGACACTTTGTAAATTAGAAATACACAGCCTGACACACAGTATCATTTTTTCCCACAGCCCATTTGAAGCCCAAGGACCACACTGAAGTGTATGCAAAAGTAAGATTAGTGGCCAAAAACAAGTGAGACAGTCACAGGATACACTGAGTCAATTCTTGCTTCATGCTCACAAAATGCTTGGATAAAACCCTCAAAGACATCCCTAACAAGAATGCAATGAAGCCTGGCATCAACCAATACCAGAGGACCTCACGCTCCTGCTGCAACAATGGCACGTATAAATCAGTCAGAATAGCCAGTCCTGACATCACGAATCAGCCAAGCAGTCAGGCTCTCTCGTACTGATACCAACACAAGTCAGAGACGTATCCACTAAAAAAAAATAAAATTACAATAATTATTACATTTTTGATGAACCAGGAACACAGATTTGGCTTTGAGAGTATTGCTGGCCTACCAGGAAACCAACAGTTTCACAAAATCAAATTTTGCCAGGAAAATCCAAATGTCCTTAAATCAAGCTCTGCAAGGATGTCAACAAGAAAGGACAAGAAGAATGAGAGTAAAGCCTCTCCTCTTTGGCAGTAACCTCAAAACGCTTGAGAAAACCATCAAAGCAGAAGAACCTAACAAAATAATTCCACAAGAATGGCCTCCTATTCCTTTCTTACATCCTCATCCCCAAGTCCTGGGGAGAAAATAAGGAAGTTTGGTGTCCCTCTACCAGGAAGCAAAGTGAGAGTGTTAAGCTCCCCCTAACCCTAGCAAGGACTTAGCCAGAGCTGTTCAGAGGTGCAAATAAGAGAACTTGCATTAAGTTCCAAGGAAACTGTAAAATGTTCCCTTTGTGCTCACACACAGTACTGATCAGCAGGTCAGTGCATCAGGATACAAATTACTTGGCCACTTCGCATTGCCTATAGGGAAGTTTCAGATTTTATTCTGCTGTTGGGATGGGTGGCTTTGACCAGTTCCAGTTTGTAAGACATTTTTGAGCCCACTCTAAACACTGCTACTGGCCACACATGCCCCGTTCTGTCAGGGGATCTGAAGAACATCACAGTTAGTGAACTGTGCAGGAAAGGAGCCTTATGCCAGGATGTCACAGCGTACTATCATGTGCAGACAGAGGTAACTCACAAAGAAGACAAGCTCTAAGAGGGGATAACAAAAATGAAGCCCATCCCAAATGTCCTACGCATTTAACTGCTCCCCAGCTGCAGCCAGGATTGCCCCTCCTTCCCCAGGGAGGAGCAGCCAATTGGACGCACCGCACTGAATCGTGGTGGGGATCTCCATGGCTCTCCGGCGCTTGTAGCGCAGTTCACTAGACGGAGGCTGGTTCCAATTTGCTGATAAATAACCAAATTCATCCCAGAACTTGATGATACCTCTCTGGGCTGGAAAACAAACCACATTTTGCTCAGTATGGAGCCATTATCACAAAGTCACCACCTGCACTCTTGGCTGCCCTCCAGTCAAGTTTCTCCTTCCACCCCCTAGTAATCATGAAGCTTCATTACCTATAGCAACATCCTTCCAATACTGAGCCAAATGCTCTCCCATGGCCTTCAGCAAGTGTCGATACTCCTTGGCATCAGCAAAATCTTGTTTATTATGGGTTGGCTCCAGAACCAAATAGGGCACATCGACCACACCTACCACCCCTCCACATGCCCTAGAAGAGGAACACACAGTCACAAACATTAAGCTGCCAAGTTTTCAACCTGAGCCATCATACAAAAAGTAAGACGGACTCAAATATATGTATTTGCTGTCAAGACCCATTGTCCCTGTCCCTAGAATGAGGCACTATTGCTATCAGCACTCATCAGTGCCACGTGCCAGCATTGAGCCAAAGCACCTTATACTGCTGCAGGGATGACCAAAATCCATGTAAAGAACTTGATATGGAGCAACCAGGGAAACATTAAGCAGTATTAAACATAATTTATTTATCAGAATGCAAACTGAAGGCTGACAAAATGAGCAAGCCTCATGCCCGTGAAGAATGATTAATGTAGAACAAGGTTATTGCACAACCTAAGTTAGATGTAGAAATGTGTCAGGCTTAAGCAAAAAGACTGCAGAAAAATCTGCAAGACTCACATGCCGCCCTCCAGCTGCGGGCCCACCTTCTCATACATCTTGATCAGCCGACTACAGTTATAAATGAACATGCCGTCCAGGTCACGTTGCTCGATGTTCACCCCAAAGATAAAATTCAGCTCTTTGGGTTCCTTCAGTGCCCTGTGAGGGAATGAAACAGAGACTGAGAGATGATGAAAAATAAAGCATATTATATACTGGTGTTAGAGAGAGGGTATGGAAATCTGGCATCCTTGGGCATTAATCCTGTAACCTCCTATTTCTGAAAAATACAAAGCATTTGTTGAATGGGCATTACAACTGAACATGAACAAAATACAAAAACTTTGCAATACAGATACTAAATTTAGGATGGACAGGTAATTATTCATTTCATTGGGTTTTCTCCTTCAGAACAGATTCTGGATTTTACTTCAGATGTGCTTGTTCAAAAAATGACAGTGAACTAGTTTTATGAGAGTGTTGTTTGGTACAGACTGGTCCTTTCCAATGCTGTTTTGGTTTGTATTTTCCAGATGCAAATCCCTATCTAGATAAAGCATGAAATTGAGATTTTGATACAAAACTATAGTCTTGATTTTCAGATTCTGGAAAGTTCACCTAATTCCAATTTTGCAAGGCTGTTCCTTAAACTGTAAAGCTGGAGGATACAACACACAGCCCAAACACACTTTCTTTTTCTTTCATGACAGGATATCAATTTGCATGATTTCTCCTTTAGCTATGCAGCAGATGGCTCCAACAAAAGTTGGTCTCAAGTATGTTTGTGAGCACATAGGGATTTCCAAATCTGAATCTCTAGTTACCAGGAATTCTGTCTCCAGTGAGGCAGAAAGCCTCGAGATTGATTTCTTTGTGCTATAAATCGAACAAAATCCCTTTGTCTCACAAACAGAACTACTGCTCTTTAACAGACTAAATTAATCAGGTTCCACAGTTTCCCTGAAATCCACACTGAGGATTTTTCATAAGGAGGATCCTCAGTTTCAGGCTGAAAGTATTCTCAAATGCAAGGTCTACACCTTGCAATTACTACAGTGCAGAGCCTATATCACAGTCCTGCCCACTTCTCTCAGTTTTGACCTCATTTATATCCCCCTTTCATACCCATAAAGTTCTTAGCACTTATGTGCTTTATCCTACTTAGAAATTTGACTTCTGCTACACTAGTTAGTTGAAGATAGTGGAATTCTTTAAAATGTTCTGCTGACTGTCTACTAATATCAGATATTAGGAGGACCTGAGCTGTGCATGCACAAACCGTGCACTGTGATCACCTGCAGATATGAGATCTGTCTTAACAGTGAAATACCTCAAAATCATAGAATCATAGAATCAGCCAGGTTGGAAAGGACCTCTGAGATCATCAAGTCCAATCCTTGATCCACTACCACCAGTTACTAGACTACGGCACTAAGTGCCACATCCAGTCTCTTCTTAAAAACCTCCAAGGACAGAGAATCCACCACTTCCCTGGGCAGCCCATTCCAATGCCTGATTACCCTCTCTGTATAGAATTTCTTCCTAATATCCAACCTAAACCTCCCCTGGCAGAGCTTAAGACCATGCCCTCTTGTCTTACTGAGAGCTGTCTGGGAAAAGAGACCAATGCCCACCTGGCTCCCCCCTCCTGTCAGGGAGTTGCAGAGAGTGATGAGGTCATCCCTGAGCCTCCTCTTCTCCAGACTAAACAACCCCAGCTCCCTCAGCCTCTCCTCACAGCACTTGTGCTCCAGTCCCTTCCCCAGCCTCCTTGCTCTTCTCTGCAGCTGCTCCAGCCCCTCCATGTCCTTCCTGAGCTGAGGGGCCCAGAACTGGACACAGCACTCCAGGGGTGGCCTCCCCAGCACTGAGTGCAGGCCAAGAATCACTTCCCTGCTCCTGCTGCCACACTCTTCCTGAGCCAGGCCAGGATCCATTGGCCTTCTTGGCCACCTGGGCACACTCTGGCTCATGTTCAGCTTCCTGTCCATCCAAACTCCCACCTCCATTCCTACCTGGCTGCTCTCCAGCCACTCTGACCCCAGCCTGTAGCACTGCAGGGGGGTTGTTGTGGACAAAGTGCAGGACCCGGCACTTGGTCTTGTTGAACCTCATTCCCTTGGAATCAGCCCAACTCTCCAGCCTGTCCAGGCCCCTCTGCAGAGCCCTCCTGCCTTCCAGCTCATCGACACTCCCCCCCAGTTTGGTTTCCTCTGCAAATCCGGTAATGGTGGACCCAATCCCCTCATCCAGATCATCAGTAAAGATATTAAACAGAACTGGGCCCAGCACTGATCCCTGGGGGACACCACTGGTGACTGGATTCCAACTGGATGCAGCCCCGTTCACCACCACTCTGGGCCCGGCCCTCCAGCCAGTTCCTAACCCAGCACAGAGTGCCCTGTCCAAGCCCTGGGCTGCAGCTTTTCCAGGAGTGTGCTGTGGGAGATGGTGTCAAAGGCTGTGCTGAAGTCCAGGCAGACACATCCCCAGCCTGCCCCTCATCTACCAGGCGGGTCACCTGATCATAAAAGGAGATCATGTTGGTCAGGCAGGACCTGCCCTTCCTAACCCCGTGCTGGCTGGCTCTGATCCCTTTTCCATCCTGTAGGTGCCGTGTGATTGCACTCAGGATGATCTGCTCCATAACCTTGCCAGGCACTGAGGTCAGGGTGACAGGCCTGGAGTTTCCCGGGTCCTCCTTCCGGCCCTTTTTGTGGATTGGTGTGACATTCGCCAGCTTTCAATCGTCTGGGACCTCCCCAGAGAGCCAGGACTGTTGGTGAAAGATGGAGAGTGGATTGGGTCCCTCATCACGCTTGAGTGGATCCCATCTGGTCCCATAGACTTGTGAGGATCAGAGTGGCTCAGAAGGTTGCCAATTGTTTCCTCTTGGATTACAGGGGGGTTATTCAGCTTCTTATCCCTGTCTACAATATAAATAAATTCCCAAAACAGACTGAATTAATTTTTTGTTTAAGGTCATCCTCCCCCACAGAGATGTAATGGCACCTCGTGTCACACCTTCCTTTAAAACAGGTGACTCTAATACTTTTATAAGAAAACATCTGCAATAGCAGTTTTCAGTACTTTTAAATCCAAATCTTTGCCAAGAGGGGTTTTCAACACTGTCAGCTGCTGGGCTGCAATGTGACCCTTTGGTCCCAGCTCAAGGTGGACAACTGTGATTCAAGAGCATGAGGAGGTGTGGCTAAACACCCAACTCAGGGATTCATTTTCTTTTTCTAACTTCTGGAAAAGGAGGTAGAGCCTTACATTTCAAGTAATACCATGCACTCACTCACAAAATAGGAAAGGCATCTCCTCATTTTTATCAGAGATGAAAGGAAGTAAAATTATTATCCAAACCATGGAAAATTAAGTGGTGGTTCAAAAGCCAATTTATTACTAGGAATTTAGTACCTGTCCTATCGTTTGGACTTATAACCTGATCTTACACAGGCTTTGGAAAACATAAAGCACTTCTTTCCTTGCTGCACCCAGCACCAGAGAAACAGCAGAAAACTGTCCTAGGACATCCTCTGTAACTCAGGAGTTTTGCAAAAGGTTATGGGAACTGGTTTATACAGAAGGTTTCCTATTATACACATTTTTCAGGAATTTCCTTCTGCTTTCTGGATGAAACACAAGGTTGTGGAAAAGGCTGACCCTCTAAACTGTCTCCAATTACCAGTGATGAATGCAGGGACACAGGGAAAACCATGTGCCTGCCCAGAGCTTTTTTTGCTGGTCAGCTTATTAACAGGAGAAAATATTTTGCCCATGGGCACAAGGGGCAGAAGACCATTCACAAAATTTTCCTTTGTGCACTGATGTCACACACAAGAATTAAAGGACAAGCTGTACACAGAAAAGTATGTGGAAGCTGAAGAAAACAGTTTTTCCCATAAGTTTCTACATCCTTCAGATCTCAGCTCCAGCACTTTTAAATTAAGGCTGTATTTATTTCTTTCCTTTTAGTATTTTAAGAGGCATTAGATCTATCTCTGGCAACAGGTCTGGGATAGTTCCGACCTAGGCAGCCATGTAAACTAGCATGCAAACAACCAGGTGGGAATAGAGACATGTTGTATGCAAATCCCCAACTTCCTCAGACTCAGTATTTGTTTTAAGAGCATTTGTTTCTGGTTACCACTTCAATTGAGAAATGCAAAACAAAATGTATATAAAGAGTGAAATATTCCTGTGAGTACATCAAAAGCCAAAGTTAATTGCAATCAGACCTAAACTAGAATAATGTCTTCAAATTTCACAGCACTGACTACAACAAAACTCAGTACATTTTCAGAAAACATCCCTGCAACTCCTAAAGCTTTTTCACTGTAACTTGTGAACATTGGTTCACCAGTCTGAATCTTACCTGCAGATGGAAAAGTAAAAAGAGTGAAAAAAGCTGATGTGAACACCAGGTAAACATCTACAGCGAACAACTTCACCCACTCACCCACATGTCTTTCATCAGATAAGAGGGGAGCAGCAGAGGTAACCAGAACAGTGACCTAGTTGCTTGGTTTAGTAGCCTGGGCATACTGGATGCTCACATTTAAGCTTTGAGCGGAACTTCTCCTCCACCACACACACAAAGCAGAAGAGACATCTGAGCACCTGGGAGCAAACAGCCAAGGAACTCCAGAGTTTGGAAGCCCCTGCACTAACCACTGGGAACTCTAGAGCCTGAAAGCCCCTGCACTCACCGCTGCTTTGCATCCTTAATCCTTCTCTTGACATCGGCCTCCCGCCGCATGGTGATGGCTGAGTTCTGCACTTGACGCAGCGTCGCCTGCAAAAGGGCATTGCACAGTAAAGCTGCTGCTGGGAAATTCATAAAATTCACTCAATTTATGATTTCCCCTTTCAAAAAAAATCTGAGAAATCGTTTTAAATGTAAAAGAATTCACAACCGGTGGCAGGTGACAACCAGCAGGACTCCACATGTAGGACAGCACTTACATCCAGTTGTTTAAGCAGCTACACAGTTGCTTGGAAGAAAAAGTCTAAATGTAATTAAAAGTCCCAGGAAACTGAAAGCAGAGGCAATGGAGCACAGGGAAACAGTCAGAGCACTTGGATACTGCTGTTTCCACGAGATGCCAATAGGAAGCCCATTGATTTTAACCTGGTGTCACTTGCTGACCCTTGCGGTGTCCCTGCCAGCCCTCCTCCCACCCTGCGGCACTGGGGCTCAGCATTGCCCCTCTCAAAGCTACAGTCCCACTGGGAGGAAGCAAAGAGCCCCTCTCCAAAAGCCCCTGCCCAAATGCCTCAGAGACAGTTGCACAGGCAAGGGAGGAACAGCCAAAAAGCCCCCAGTTCTACTCCTGTTCCAACACCTCCTGTTCCCCTGGCCTCTTCCATAGAGGCTGACAGCAAACAGCACCTGGGGCTTGGAGGTCCCCTTCCCACTCAGGATATATGGGGGCCGTGGGCAGGGGAATGCCAGCATGCATCCCACTTGGGCTGGACATCAAGTGCAGATGGTGTAGCACATACAGTGGTAATGAGATGATGGAGCTGCCTGAACACTGCTGACAGCTCACCATCGACTGGAGTCAGCACCTGCTTAACCAGCACACAGGATGCTGCCATGTGGGGGCTGCCACAGCGGCTGCTCAGCCAGCACTATTCCATGCCTGTGCTCCGAACCGTCCCTCAGTGCCCAAAACACAATGTGCTGCTAAAGCACAAGGCTCACCCTGGACTCCCGCGTGAGATCCCCTCCAAGGCGCTGCTCAAGGGCATGGGCTTTGCTCTCTGCCTCACGAGCCTTCTCCTCTGCTGAAACACACAGGGACAAGGATGATGTCAGCTAGTCAGTACAGGAGAGCAATTCCAGAGAGCCTTTGCTGCACGGATGTGTACAAGGTTACAAAGGAATACAAAAAGGTACAAAAATCAAACCTTACATGAGAGGGCCCCACCAACACAGCATCTCAAACATGCTCAGAGGTCACAATCAACGCTGTCACAATCGCAGGGATAAACTCTGCAAAAGTACGTTTAAAGGAAGGACCCTAGAGGAAGTCAACAAAGAACTGGAAAGCATAAGGATGCCAGTGGCCCTGCATGCTCTGCCTGGCAGCATGATTCGCAGAAAGACTCTCACAAAAACAGGCTTGAAAAGGAGTTCCAAAGAGGTCATTTTCTGATAGAGATGAAGGGAAAAGAAATGCTTTTGTCTCTGCTAATAGCTAAATTTTGCCTGGAAAAAGAGAAACCTGCGCTATACACAAAATAGAACCCAGTGTTCTGAAAAGTTACCCTGCACCTGATCCTTGCATGCAAGAAACTTAATATTCCCCTTTTCATTTCTGTCCTAGAACAAGAGGAATGCTGACAATAGGCACACACCACCTTTATATCGCTTAAGACTCATTCAATAAACCTCGTTTTCAGCAAGGAGAATGGATTGAGAGTAGCCCTGAAAAGGACTGGGGAGCGCTGGTGGGTGACAGGCTGGACATGCCCCAGCTGTATGCACTGGCACCCAGAAACCCCCTGTGTGCTAGGCTCATCCCACAGCGTGGGCAGCAGGGGAGGGGGGAAATCTGCCCCTCTGCTTTGCTCCGTTGAGACCCCCCCACCTGCAGAGTGGCCTCCAGCTCTAGGGCCTCAACATCAGAAGGACATGGAGCTGCTGCAGAAGAGTCCAGAGGAGGCCACAGAGATGCTCCAAAGGCTGGAGCAGCTCTGCTCTGGAGTCAGGCTGGGAGAACTGGGAGTGTTCAGCCTAGAGAAGAGAAGGCTCTGGGGAGACCTTAGAGCATCTTCCAGTGCCTAGAGGGGCTCCAAGAGAGCTGAGAGGGACTTTGGACAAGGGCCTGGTATGACAGAACAAGGGAAAATGGCTTCTGACTGACAGAGAGCAGGGTTAGATGGACTGTTGGGAAGAAATTCTTCCCTGTGAAAGTGATGAGGCCCTGGCACAGGTTACCCAGACAAATTGTGGCTGCCCCATCTCTGGAAGTGTTCAAAGCCAGGTTGGACAGGGATTGGAACAACTTGGTCTAGTAGAACGGCATGGAATGAGAGGAGCTTTAAGGTCCCTTCTAATCCAAACCGCTCTGTGATTCTGAGATTTGGAAATACAGTGGTTGCACACTGAGGGACAGTGTGGCTCACATTAAGGTGAGCAAAAGGACCATGCCCCTGCAGCAGGGGGGCAGCAGCACAGTTACAGCACACCCAAAAGCCATTTCCCTCCCTGCTCTCCTCATAGAGAGCTTCACAACTGCAGCTGTGAGACTCCCAAAACAAGGAAACACACCAACTGAGGAACAACCTTGTCTAAGATTTACAGAGGTAAGCAGGAAGATGACAGGGACGCAATTGGCTCCTACGGATTACCAGCATCTCTCTGAAAAGCAGCACTCAGTTGCCAGACAGAAGGGAAAAAAAGTCTGTAGCCAGTCCGCTCACTTAGACCCCTACAATAAAAATCCCTTTTCCTTCCTATACAGCGTCCCATTGGAATTTTATTCCCCTCGTTCCCACAGCACCACACTCTGGGTTCACAGCTGCTCACCAAGCAGGTCATAGCAGGACTGTGCTATGTGACCATCAAGAGACAGCCTAGCTAAATCAAACCCACAGGAATCTGGAGGTTGCTTAAAGCACTCGGTCCACTTCAATCAGAGCTTGCAGGGAAGTTGCTGGTGGGCTAAAAATATCTGTGGCTAGTGGAAAGAACATAGCAGTAACCCAGAAGGGCACAGGTCAAACCTGCTCCACTAAGGCAGTGACAACTGAGACAGGTGACAGGGCTGAGGCCCCAGTTAGAGGACTGAGGCCCCAGTGGGTAAAATGCGTGTCCTACGCAGGAAAGTGAGCATGCAGCATCTGGTACCCACATTCACATCCTCCCAGGGGACAACAGGCACAGTATACCCATGCCATTGCCAAGGAAGGCACTGGACACACCAAAATACTCCAAAATAATACTCAGTACAGCACAGAGCTGTTAATGACTTCCAGTACTGGACACCTGCGTGACTCCTCACCTCTTCTGTTTGTTTGTTTTCCAAACTTTGGAAGGGGATTTCCAGAAGCCAGGCAATGGCAACACCAAGGTGCCTCAGTGGAGTACTCAGTCTTGGTTCTGAAGGACACAGAAAGCAGCTGATGGTCTTTCACAGCCACCTTGCCCAGGAATGGTACTTTTTTCCTAGGTTCACCCACTCACTTAGAGATCTGGATAGTACAGCCTATACACGAAGCAGGAAGTCAGTTCCCATGGAATGAAAAGATGGCTTTTCCTCATCTTAAACATATGTATGTGTTTACTTCTGAGACATGGCTCTTCCTACAATATGCCAAAGCCATGTCACCAATAGTCACAGCTGCCCATACATCCTCCTCCAGCTATTTTCTGGTTATCCTAAGTTTTCGTTCCACAAGCTCATAAGCTACTTTCAGAGAATCAGCACTCTCTCAGTCTGATGGATTCCAGCACATCCCTGGCAGGCAGCTCTGGCAAGTTGGAACTGTTGTTTGCTCAGTTGAGACCAACCATTTCTCACAATGCACTCCTGAGACTTGAAAGAGCACACTGCAAACCATTCCTGGGTGAGAATCCTTCTGAAGAGCTGGAGACTACAAGAAACTAATCTTTTCTACCAAAACAGAACAAGAGAGCTTGGCTGTTACAGATTAAATCCATTTTCCTACAAGCAAAGCAATGAGATGTGTGCTGCTGAGGCTGAGGATAATGCTATGAGCATGTTTTAATCCTGGAGGCTCCATGTGACCCAATCTTGCAGTAACAGTCCGAGGTCAGCTAGGAGTTTTCACCACCACATCCTAAGCACTTTGCTCAGCACCCCCTCTCCCCCAGGGGACACTAGGCCAGTTCAGTGATCCCTGCACCCCTGGAGGCAACAGGTTGGTTCACTGCCAATGTCCACCCTACCCTGACACAGTTCACTTTTTATATCTGCCCAGTTGTTAATAAAGACAGTCTGACTGTATCAACTAAAGACGAGGTTTTATTCTTTTTTGAAGGGTCCTCTTCGTCAAACACACACATGAAGGGAAGAGGGAAGGTGGATAGCAGCACGAGAAATGGCGGAATAGCCAGTTCTGGAATGCAGTGTTTACATAAAGCATATTTATCACACCTAGAGCAGGGATTTTTCAGGCTACAGGGAGGGCAGCATGGAACTATTTGATATACAGTTATACACCTTTTTCAAACTTATTAACACTATTTAAGTCTCTTTATACTAACTTATGACACTCTGTTACTACTAAATATAAATCTATATTTTTTCTGTAAGTAAAGCTAACGTAAAGAATCTTTTTCTCTTAGTTTTAACTTTGGTAGCAGGTGTTCACTGTGCGGTGTTCTTCTGCAGAAGTTTAGCAGCTTCTCTCTCACTTTCACTAAGTGCCCAAGGCCATTTGCTAGATTGCAGAGGTATCTCCGAGGCCTTTTGTTGGGCAGCTGCTCCTTGCTTGTCAGGCCTAACACCTGCTAGGTCCCCAACAGTTCCGAGAATTACAGAATCATTTAGGTTGGAAAAGACCTCCAAGATCATCGAGTCCAACCTATGACCTAACACCACTATGTCAAATAGATCATAGCACTAAGTGCCACATCCAGTCCTCCCTTAAACACCTCCAGCAACAGTGACTCCACCAACTCCCTGGGCATTCCAATGTCTAAATGACTCCTTCTGTGAAGATATTCTTCCTAATGTCCAACCTAAAACCTCTCCTGGCACAGCTTGAGACTATGTCCTGTGGTCCTGTCACTAACTGCCTGGGAGAAGAGACCGACCCCTGCCTAGCTACAACCTCCTTTCAGGGAGTTGTGGACTAATAAGGTCTCCCCTGAGCCTCCTCTTCCCCAGGTCAAACAACCCCAGTTCCCTCAGCCACTCCTCACAGGACATGCACTCCAGACCCTTCACCATCTTTGTTGCCCTTCTCTGGACTTGCTCCACCACTTCAATGTCCTTCTTGAAGTGAGGGACCCAGAACTGGACACAGTACTCAAGGTGTGGCCTCACCAGTGCCAAGTACAGATGGGGAAGAATCACTTCTCTAGTCTTGCTGGCCACTCTATTTCTAAAACAGGCCAGGATGCCATTGGCCTTCCTGGCCACCTGGGAACACTGATGGTTCCCTGCACATCCAGAGGCAACAGGCTGGTTTGGTGATGGAAATGAGTAACATCTCCATGCCAGTGAGACCTGTTCTCAGCATTGGAACACCAATGGCAGCATTTTTCAATGTCAGACACTAAAGTTCCACTTTTAAGTATCATGAAAGCCTCATTGGACTGCTGCAGAGAAGAATCTCCAGATCTTGCTCTTTGCACCTTCTTGAGAGACAATGACAGTGTGTGCTGAAGGCCTGTCTTGGCTGCAGGACTCAATTTAAAAATAAACTTCACCTACGAGGATTGAGGCACACGGTAAAATCTGCTTAAACTTCATCTTTTGAAGTCTATCTTGCCAGGCTGTACTTCCTAAAGAAGGAACAGAGAACACAGCAATTCACACCATTTCACTCTGCTGCTCTGAAGTCACGCTGCCCTCTGTGACACTACATAGGCTGAACGTGGCACTAGTCCTTGCGTATCTGACCTGCAGCCACCAGCAGACGTGCCTAAAGCAGCTCTGATACAGGGGTAGAGGACACATGCCTTCAATTGATTTATAGAGTTGATTTATAAAACCTACCAGAAGATACAGGTCGCATATAGGTCACTTACAACTTCCAAGATTCCTTCTTCACTACGGCACTTCCCCATCAGGGGTTAGGGGTGGACACTATTTAGTGTGTTTAATGTCTGCAGATTTAATGCAGTCATATACTGTATTTATAACGCTTATGTGATTTCTATCCAATAATGGAAAACTGGGTTTTCCCTGAAGACTATAGGACAAAGGTATGCCTGGAAGGCTTAAAAACAAACAAACCAGGGCTCCTTTGTACATCCAGACCAATCCCTTTACATCAAGTGATGGAACAAAAATCTACTGTTTGAGCTGCCTCAGCAGGAAATAGCAAAAGGAGAACACAACTAAGAGCTCATGATATGCTAAAGGTGAGAGTAGAACTGTGGGGTGACAGGACTCAACCAGGCCTTGGCTGGAGCGAGGGCAGACAGCTGTGACTCCAAGGGGTATCCTGTACATCTGTTACCCAGATGAAATGGTCTCAGAGAACAATGTACATTCCATTGAACAACGCACTTCCATTCCATGGAAGTAAGTCTATGTCGTCTGTAGTCACTGTCATAACTCAGTTCCTGAGCAATTCCAATGATCCCAGAGGCAAGCAATCCAAGTCATACCCAGCAAGTGTTCAGTCCATCCCTTCACAACAGCTGAACGAGTGCACATGCATACCCTGAGGACTCACCTATCCTTGCCATGTGCTCTGCTTTCTTCACCTCTTGCTCTGCACGGGTCTTGAAACGGTTTGAAGTATATTTGTACATCCTGTGATGATCAAAATTTATTAATCAGCAAACTTAGCAGTAAGGTCAAACCAAGATTTCATCACTGCATGAGAGAACAAGGTCTACAAGTAGGTACTGTATACTCCTCCCAATAGACTCAATAAATGGAGGAGGTTTACTTATCAGGAACTGGACATTTTTGGTTGAACCTAGGCAAAAATCTCTTTAAGTCAGAGATGTTTTAGTAGAAGTTGCAACCATAATACCCTGTCTTTTCCTGCATTAACCAGTGGGGGCGAAATATACCCATATTCTGAGGAAATCTCTAGACTTAGAGAAATAATTTCTTCTTCAGAAGTGGAAAGAAGAGCGAATAGATATGGAAAGCTTCTCGAAATCCTCCCACTACAGTTAAATAACTACTCCTTTTTCCTGCAAACAGCTGTCCACAGGTCCATCTCACACAGGGTAGCTCAAAGCAGAAAAACAATCTGACCAGAGCTCTAAGTTTCAGGACATTTTTGTGTGCTCCACATCTGACTTACAACCCTGCAAATTGTGATGGAGCTGCAGCAGCTTGTTTCACCTTTCCTATATCTTTAAATGCCAAATGCAAATCCCAATCCACAGACTGCTGCAGAGTGAGAGACGGGTATGTGTGAGAGGTCAAAGCTTATGAGTGCCTCTGAGCAGAGGCACGTAATGAGGGAAGACTACACCAAGGACAAGCAGAGCCTGCAGGAACTCAGATCATCTTAAGATACAAGGTTTTAGATGTATCAAAAGGAAAATCCTACTCCAAATAACTCTTTACAGAAAATAAAACTTTCCAGCATTTAGCCAAAGCAAAAGTCATTAGAAATGCTTTTTACAGAGAGGCGGAAACACATAGGGACGTAAGGCTTGACTGACCAATTGACTAGAATCACATTTGGATCCCAACGAGAGACAAGATTCCCTCCAAATAGCAGATAAACCGTCAGGACTCATGAGAAACCACATCGTACAGATGAAAAGTATTGTTTAGGTTTGTTTCTGTTGGTGAGCACACATGGATGTTGGTACTGAGGTCAGAAATAGTCTCTCCGACAGGAAATCCTTGCTCCTAAATCTAGAAAATTCACACCACAAGCACAGTTCCCTGAAACACATTTTGCTAAACTCATTTTCTGCTATTCAAAAGGATTTCCTCACTAGCAAAAAAGCAGCCAGGTGCTAAAGCTTCCAGAAATCACCCAATTGGGTGATGTCACTGTGTCAGGAGCTGCAGAGTCAGGATTTTGGCGGTATCTTCTCTAACCTATGTAAGCTTGATGAAAGCTACCTGGAGCCAAGAGAGAGAGCACACTGAAAGCCGGGCTGCTTTCAACATGCTGGCATAACCACATTATCTCATCCACATCCACCTGATTTTTCTGAGAAAAAAAAAGAGAGAATTTGAAAGTGAAGCTGAATTATCAGCCCATGTCCAGCTCAGGGGCAAGGCAGCTCCTGAGGGGACCATAGGGACAGCACTCCTTTTGCAGCAGGGACCACTGTGAGCAACTGTAGGGTGTCCCAGATGATGGCACTGTGAGCCATCACCAGCCTCACAACACTCATTCCGACTGCCTCGGAGTGTCCTTTTAAAGGGACACACTTGCATGTGGCCTGGCTACTTCTACCTGCACAGTCCACGCTCCAACAGGTACTGGGGGAAGGGATGGAAGTAACCTTTCAGGAGACACAAGCCATTCCCAAGAAGCTGGGACTGTGGTCACACATCTGCAAATGCTAGTGAAGGATCTGCACAAAACCAGCCTGCCCCTGCCACCGGCACATTACCAGCTCCAGAAAGATGAGCAGAAGCCTCTCCCACAGAAACACAGCTTCCAAAAGGGGCAGATGACAAACAGAAAACAGGTGCCTAGCTCAGGAGACGCACTGTTATTCCTGAAAAACAGCACAAGGGCTGCAAAATCCTAATTTTCAGTAAAGGCATTTACATACTCTAAATCCATGGTGGATTACCACTCTTTATTCTCTAACACCAACACGGGAACCTGCAGACAAGCCACTGTACAGGCTTTTCCTTCAGAGATGAAGGCAACCTGACTGACCGCCCTACTGCAGGAGGGAGGCTCCACTTAAGGCAAAGAGCCCTTTGGGATGTCACACACAAGCACACCAGCTGCTCGGGGTGCAATGCAGCAGCACTTCTGCCCGTTCCATCCCTCTGTTGGACCTGGAAAGTTAAGCATTTACTTGGCCCAGGCTACTGGGCCAGAAACACAGCCATGCTAAAGAGCTGAGCACTGATGCTGCATCAGCTGACCCCAAAGGAGCCCATGTGGGTAAAACAGAGTCAGAAATCCAGAAATTCTCTATCCAGCAAATCAGGATTTACAGTAGCAAGTTTCCTGCCATCTGCAGGGAAACAACTGGCCTGGCCAGCACAGGGAGTAGTGGGTGTAACATTCCTTGACTTTACTTGGGTTTCTAATACCATCTCACACATTCTCACATAAGGAGCTGAGGAAGTATGAGCCTGACAGACAGACCATGCTCTGAGTTAGAAATCGGCCAGACTCTTCAGGCGTCATTAGGCATGTGACACTGGCCTGGGGTAAGTAACATGCCTGGTGGGCTGAGAGTCGCCCCATACTACTCAAATACCACTGCAAGCCAAAATGCTATTCTAAAATAATCAGCTAATACTCTATGAAATTAATACTGCTTTATTAAACCAAATCTAGAATGCAGACTGTGTGCTCCCAGGGACAGAAGAACACTACTGCCTCAAGTAGACTTAAATACATGTTTCCCTTTCCCCTCCCACTCCGGTAACCTTTTCCAGTCTCTGTTCAGCCAACTGGCAGCACATCTCAGCTCACTCTCATTTTTTGTTTAAGGGAATTTAAAAGAATATAGCGAAAGCTATTTCTCAATCTCTATTCAAACCTCGATTAGCTAAATGTAAAAGCAACTGTTTCAAAGTACTCAGTCTAGTTTCTTTTCAGTAATAATCCCAACACCAACTATACGTATTTCCTTGTCCTATTCAAAAAAACAACACAGTTACCCAACAGTTTTGTGTGGATACAGTATTTTGAACGAGGATCTTCATTTCCTAGTTTGCTCTGAAAGGGAGTCAAATTGCACCAATGACTCATGCAATTTTCATAGGCATTAGATTTTCCAAAATGTACCTCTTTTTCCATGACATCAGCACCACCTGTCATTCTCTAATGGTCTGTTTCTGTGGCATTAACATGGAATTATGCAGTATACACCTGGAGAGCAAAATGCTAAACCTTTTCTCTAACATCTAAAGGTCCTATCTGCAGATTTTGGGTTCAAAACTTACCTTGGCTTATAGAGGCAGCACGAGAGTCGTTTGGTTTGCACTTTGTGTCCATTGATGAAGATCCTCATCCTGGGATCGATATAAAGCACAGCAGCATAAGCACGGAAGGAGCGGCGCTCCGGCTTGCTGCAAGAGAGCCATCTATTTCAGAACAATGCCCAAGAGATACCCTCAGCAAGACAGCCAGGTGAAGGAAAAGGTTTTTCTATTTTATTAGCGTGCAGCTACCTAAAGTGAGGCTTTTCTTTAAAGTTTTTTTCTGTGTCTTGTCCAGAGACTATTGAGTTGTACATTGTAACTACTGCTACCAAACACTGATACATGTTACTGCAGTTTGAAGAGAGAGTTTAAATACATCTGCATAATAAACATCAAAGCTATAAAAGGGACCATTTAACACAGTGTGCCCATCTGCCAGAGCTTTCTTACCCTTTGGTGAGTCAACAGTGCACTGCCACAGAACATGCACTGCTCACACACAGACATGGTACCATAACATCAGGAGGAAGAAGTAGTGATGCCTTGGTATTAAAGAGGTTGAGAAGCACATGAGATTGCTGGGGGAGATCAAAGGAGTTTGCTGCACTATGCACTCAATAATGTCACTCTTAATACATAGAGACAGAACTGCTTTACAAGGTCTGAAACTTCCCATGGAAAATTCAAGTACTTCAGGAAAGAAGCACGTAATCTCATCAGAAAGGTAAAGCTTGCTAAGTGTTCCCATGGAGCTCTGGGATCAAAGATTTGGCTCATTTCAGCTAAGTTCTTCCTTTTCAGGCTACAAGTGATCAACCCAGCAAACACACAGCTCTCTCTGAACAGGGCCCTCTGCTCCTCCAGCTGCCCTCAGAGTACATTCTTCTTCTTCCTATGCAGTAAAGTCCAAGAACGGTCCCTGCTCCCAGACAGATGTGATTATACAACCCACCTGCCCCTCTGTACCATCCACCTATGGAGGCTGACCTGCACAGTGTCTCATGCTTTGCCATTTAATCCCAAAACTGAACAGCAATTTAGAAGCAGCACAGACTGAGGATGAAAATATTTTTGGTGAGTGTATAAAATTAAACCTATAGTTTAGGGCTCCTTGCTTTAAGGGGTCTAAAAGGCACTGAGTCTGCTGCTTTGGCTATACTGAGACCAGTTAGCACAGGTGTTCACCCAAAACACAGCCAAAACACCCGTGGGCTAACACACACATGAATCCCAAGCTACTACAGAATTAACTACAGATCTTCTAAATTATCCAGTTCACTACAGAAAGAGAAGCTTTAGAAAACCCCATGTACACACTATATAGCCAAACCCCACACCCAATTTGATCAGGGCCTGTAATACCGGTTATACTTACGTTCCCTCAGGGGGTGTTTCTGCCATCTGAATGTCTTGTGGGTCAGAAGTCACATCCAGCTCTGGTTCTCCATTATCCATTAGTTTGAGGTTAAAGATGATCACCAGGGTGCCTGAGCAAGTAACAAGACGGATCAGGCAAATCCCAGTCAAACTCCAAATACCTCACCCATGACCTGCACCATTCACATGTACCTTTCTCACCACGTATCTTACTGAACTGCTCCATCACTTCCCGTTCTGATTTGAAAGGGGAATACTTGTAAATGAGCTCCGTCTCAATAGCAAACTTCTCCATGTTGTCCGTCAAAGGTTCACGGCTCCGTGCATTCCAGGTGGGCAGGGGAACAATGACCTGCAAATCCCATTGTACTGAGAGTGACTCCAGCTCTCCCACTCCAGTCAGCCTCTCCTGTGGGTCACAGCCCAGTGACTTATCCCACCTGACAGCTCCCTAAGGCACCATGAGAGTCCTTTCCAGTTTTTCAGAGGTTTGCATGTCTGTCAAATGCTTGAAGATCCTCTTTGCCAGCCTCTGAGTTGCTTTCCTACAACACCAGTCTAGACTGAACCACTTCTGAGTCACCTGTATGGTACCAGCTACTCACACACACAATGACTTTTTCTCCCCTCCCCTTGTAGCAACTTTCATAACATTAAAAAGTCACTCAAACTTGCCTTTTTAAAAATGTAAACCTCTGGCTTCATTTCTCTCTTGAACTCAAACATCCTTCACTCATATTTATCCCGATCTCACTGTATTCTTTTTATAGGATTCTAGCAAGGTTACTGGTGGTTTCTATTATTCAGAGTAAAAATACAGATAGAACTATAAACTGCAGCTGCACAAAGGACTTTAGTTGTGGGTTAGTTGCCACCATGCACTCCCTACACTCCCTCCCTTACGACAGAAGATGTTTCCTGAGATACTATCCCAATGCAAATCTAAAACTTCAGTATCAGCCTTGCCTGGAGTAACATTGCCTGAGTTACCTATTAAGATATACAAGTTTTTCACAGGTTGAGCCACACTGACTTTTTACTAAAAAGAAGACTATCTGAAAGAAGAGACATGCCTGGAGTTTATGACCTGTAGGTAGCAACTTCAACAACATCTTTTATTCTCTACAGAAAATCAAGTCAGAGCAATAAATCTAAATACATCTCAAATTCAAATTCTGTGGGAAAAGGAAAATGTGAGAAGTCTGAGCATGTTCTGAACTCAGCAAAACCACCTTTAAGTGACTGAAACAAGCCCTTCAAACTTGCTATAGACTTCTCAAACACAATTAAAACCAAAAGGAAGAAATCTTTGATGAATTTGCAGAAGCCCCACAAGTATATCACTAAAAGAAAACCACACACTTGATCCTACAAGAGCGGCAACCAGTCCTTACACAGACCATTCTCCTGTGAGAGCTAGGCAAGTTCAGATGAGACAGCATTCACTATATTACTTCATTACAACAAGCACATGCAAACCTCATCGATGCCTTCTTCCTCATGGAATGTCCGTGACAAGAGGAGACAAGTCATGGTGTTGTCTTTCTTCGTGAACAGGACAAAATCCTTCCCAATCCGCATGGAACCCCTGCAGACAGAGGTGATGCTGTGTGTTACACCTGATGTACCACACTGTTCAGAACGCAGACCACTTTACTGAGGTTTCTTCCCATTATGTTCAATTATGAGATGTCAAAATCAAGTTAGGCAGAAGGGCAGAAACAGCAACTACCATTTCTCTCTAAACATCTCATTCCTTTCAGAAGGCATCTCAATCTAGACATTTTCACAGTGTTTCAAAACATTTAACACCAGTCACAATTAAAAGGTGCAGAAGTACAGCACGGCTCCTACTATGCAGTTTAAATAAAAAGAAAAAAAAATGAAAAAGGAAACTAGGGTGAGATATGACAGTAACCTTCAAAGCTCTGAGCAGAAATGTCAGTGAGAAAGCAAGTACAACCTCATTTCACTGTATCTGGAATGAATAGCAGCAATCTGGAGACAGAAAACTAATTTCCTAATATCTAACTAAAGCCTCATTGACACTTCAGCTAAGGTAGCTTAGCAGCTCATTGTCACAAAAAGGGAAAGTCCCATCTTCCTCCTCACTCTCCTATCCCAAATAGTGTCTTTGCATCTTCTCTGTTACCCTGTTACCAAACTGATCCAGAAAACCTTAACAGATAAGAATTGACATTGCACTGAAAGAGGTATCAGTCTCACATCAGTGCATTTGTCTTCAGACTGGCTTAAGGCCATACCACAGCAATACCACAGCTTACCCTTCACATGCTGGGGCTTCAGGCAGCATTTCTCAGCTGTAATACAGTACAACTCTTGTTCAAGGTTAAGAAGGGACACAGATATGTCCTGGAAGCACACAGCTCAGGATCCGGGATGTGTCCTGTGCTGCAGTTGAATCAACGCTGTCTCAAGATCCCCTAAATCCTGGGGTTTTTTTCCCCAAATTATAGAGTACTGCCAATTTCCCAGTAGGATGCGTATAATCAAGCCACACATGCCAGGACAGAGCAGAGCAGAGTAAGCCATAAAGCCCTCTAATTTTTCCAAAGACACAGCAAACATCTTCCTCTTTCCTAACAAATCCCCTCCAGCCAGATTTCCTTCCCACCTCTGTTCCTCTACACTTAATCCCACTCCTTCTCTCATTCCTTCCATCATTCCCCTTGTCCCTACTTTTGTTTGGTTTAAGAACAAAAATAAACAGTTAAAGTCCATCTGCCTTGCACGAGACAACTTTCCTACTGAGAGGCTGCAACATTATTTTGTTCTAATCTTATTACCTGGCTGCCGCAGGCATGTTTTTCAGATTATGGTTTGGTTTCCAGCTCTTTCATTATTTTTCCCTGGCTCTGACCTGTACCTTCTGTCTCACGCAAACATAGTGCCAAAATAGTGTCACTGGTTGTGGACAGCCTTCTTGGCCACTGGAGAACCACAGCAGATGTTGACAGAGCTCCTAGCCTACCAAACCAGGGAATCTTATTTAGAGTTCATCTGCTTTTTTTTTCTAGAAAAAAAGACATACACCTTCAAGCAAAAAGTACATTAACCAACCACCTGGCTTCTGACCTCCCCAACCTCAGGAGGCTGGCTTTTGTTATACCTACGATTTCAAGCCATTCCCATACTGCCCGATTTGAGTTGACTCCGGTGATCGCTTGGCTGATTTACCAAACTGGATAACACTGGCAGCTTCATCTGCAACAGGAGACAGGGAACAAAAAGAGCTTATTTTAATGTACAGACACAAACACACATCTTTTAGATAAAGAAGGAAGATAACTCCTTCACCAACCAGAAACAGTACAGAAAGACTATGGCATGAAAGAGGTCAAAAGTCCAAGCTGAAGTTCCATCCTGAAGCTGAACCACAGAGCCTTGTGAGGTGTGTGCTGCTCGAGGGCACTGACACTATCAGAAACTTTCTTACAGGTGCCATGATGTTGACAAAAAGAGTTTTTAAGTTCAGCCTAGTCCAGTGTTCCATCTGAACTGCATGAAGATGTTTCTTAAAAAAAAAAAAAATCCCTAAAAAGGCTCTGTTTATGTCCACCACAGTTATCAACACTCATAACCGGGACGCGGCAGCTCCGCTGCATCCCATGTCCCACTGACACCACACGCTTGAGAGCACTGGCACTAGAGCATAAGGTAGGACTATAAAAAGGTCAGGAATACAGAATAGACACTAGTATTTCTTCACAGTGCTGAACTGAATACTTTGGTTAATTAAAGCACTAGTAAGACACAAGCTAACTTTGGAAGCAGATTGCTGGAGCCCTGGCAGCAGGACAGCTGCGGGGAAAGGCAGTACGAGCAGGTCCCACAGCAATTAGTGGAGGATTTCATTAGCGCAGGACAAAATGGAAGGACACGATAGCTTTACAGCTGAGAGGGTTTGTCATTTTTAGTTCCAGCCTTTCTACTGTTCAAGGGATAAAGCCAAAATTTTAACATCATCCCTAGGACAGAATAATGATTCCTTTCCCTTCCCCCAAGAGATAGCAATCATTCCACCAGATGGTTTACTGGGAGAAAGGAAGTGCAATTCCAGAGACAAGGAACACAAAGTCCTTAACAGGAAGGCTAACAACAATTACAGCTCTCAAATGCATGCATAAGCTGTGACGGAGTACAGGACATCGCTCACCCCACCAGGCAGCTATGGGGAGGCTGAGCCCATGGACTGGCTAGTTTACAGCACACAGGAGACTCAGGCTCACCAGCAGTGACGGACAGTTTTACAGTAAGATATTCAGTACTAACAGCATTGGTCTGACATGGCATCACTGGGCTGGTGTCAGAATGCCATTTTCAGTTGAAATTATATTCAGATTTAAAGTCACAAATACAGCAGAGCAACTGTGCAAACCCCCTCGCTGCTTCAATTGTGGGTGTTCAGAACGGAGCTCCACAGCTATTCCAAAACCAACTTTGGACTACATGAGGGTACCTCTGCCTTTCCTTCAGCCTACTGTAGTATTTTCTAGCCAAAGAAAACATTGGAATATCTTGTATGTGAGATCTGGGTAAGGATGTCAATGATGACAATATTTTTATTATTATTATTATTGTTACTACTACTATTACTGCGTTATTTTTAAAGCCTGGTCAGGAAAGGGGATACAGAATATTCTGAGAAGAGAAAGACTATTGGAATCTTTTTGCTGTACAAACGTTTTTCAAAAACTAGTTTTAAGAAATCTTTAGGAAGCTAAAAAGTATAAAGAGTAATTACCCAAAGTATTTCCTCTTTTAGAAAAGGTGACCAGATGATTCATCACTCAATGCTGGGTGTTTGAAACCACCCTATAATGACTCTTCTTTCAGGGCAGAAAGATGAAGATGGTGCTGAGCAGAGGGGATTGTGGGGGAGCACCTCTCTGCTCCAGACCAAATGTCTTTGGGAGAGATTTAATCTTCACATCCTCTCAAGAATCAAGGTACAAATGAATTTTTTTTTCAGCCCTTTTGAGTTAAGGTTTTGGAGAGAGTTTCGCTTAAGGCTATTTTTAGTCACACAGGTTTTGTTTTGTCGTGTCTCAGAGATACTAGATTAAAAAAAGGCAAACTCCCTGGCAAGAAAAAGGAGGAGAGGGGGGGATCTATGCCCAACAGATGAGAGAAAAAACAAGTTGAAGAAATTCACTCAAGATGGCAGATTTGATCTTCAGAGCCCAAGAAATCAAGGGCATGTATAAAACGACTCTTCATAAGGAACATCAGACACCAAAGATGAAGGAACTGGCAGATGGAGTTGTCTAATTCCTGAGTGTTCCTGAAGTCAGACCTGGCTTCACCCTTTGAGGAAAGTCCTCTCATATCTCAAAGTTCTGCAGCTGAGAAAGAAGGTCTCGATCAGAGCAGAGAAAATCATCCTTCCTACCTTCTCCACAAATTCATCTGCTATATTCATATTAGGTAGAGTACTTGCAGCGGACTGAACAGCATCCTCAAAAGATATCCCAGAGCCAAAGAATCTAATTCACTACCTGGGGAAAATCAGCCTAAAGCAAAGTTGAGCTTTCCTTGGGACAGGGGGAAAAGGGAGAAGCTCCAAGGTTCTTTGTCACCATAACACAAGACACCAGCCCCATTTGGTGATGGCTGGAAACCACCAGTGATTAACAAATCACTTTGATATATGTTTTTGCAATTTATTTAAAAAATCTGTTAACCTGAGAGGAAATGTCAATGTTAAGTTAAAGATTAAGGTTTAACCTTAAATAAGGTTAAACAGACATTTTCCCCTGAGAACTGTGTAGACCACTCCCCTGAAAATGGTCTCCAAGAGTCTCTGCCCACACACACAAGTGTGTACACAATCCAAAAACAAGTGCTGAAATCCCAGTTACATTTAAACAGCGTTCCTCACCACTGTGAGCCTTGGATAAACAGCATTTTAAAAATATAATATCTAATAAAGTAACCAAGACACTAGTACTTAATTAACTGCTCCCAGGAACACAAAAACTGTTCTGAGTTTCCAAACTTCAAAAATACGGTTTAAAAGAGCAATAACTGATATACTTACTTCAATCTCTCAAAAAACAATGGAACGAGTCCTCTTAAAAAAGTATTACAAGCCAGCTGAGACTGCTGACTGGAATAAGTCAGCAGCGATTACCAAGGCAAGTCATTGATGATGACTGATGTGGTTGCCTTCTGCAAGGCAGCACTTTCTGTTCATGTGGAGATAGCTGTGTGTGTTGTTTGTCTGGACTTCAGCCAAGTGCTGGACACAGATTTCCACAGCCTGCTCCTGGACAAACTGGGGAGACACAGACCAGACAGGTGGTATGCAAGACAAGAAGGGGACTGGCTCACAGATTGTGCTCAGAGGTCATAATCAATGGTTTTCATTCTGGCTGGCAGCCTGTCACAAGTGGAGACCCCTGGGGATTGATGCTGTGCCCCATGCTGCTCAGTATCTCCATACAGGATCTGGATGATGGGATCAAAGACACCCAAACCAGCTTTGCTGATGGAGGTGAACTGGGCACATAGGGAAAGCTTTCTTAGAGACCTGAATAGGCTGGAATAGCGGGCAAGCAAGACCTGTCTGAAGTTCAAGGGAAGCGTAAGGTCCTGCACCTGAGATGAAATGACCCAAGAGCCCGGCACAGACTGGGATCTGCAGGGTGTGCGGAGCTGCCATGCTGGAAAGGACTCAGAGGTCCTGCTGGACAACAAGCCAAGCATGTTCGAGCAGTGTCCCATGACAGCGAAACAGGCAAACAGGGACAGTATCCATAGGGACACTGCCACAAAGATGGAGATGTGATCATCCCACTCAACTCCTTGCTTGTCAGGCCCCTCTGGCAGTACTCTGCCCAGTTCTGTCTCCTTAGTTCAGGAAAGGCACAGATAGACTTGACAAAGTGTGAAGGAGAAGGTGATCAGAGGGCTGGAGAGCCTGCCTTATGAGGAAAACTAGATCTCCTTCCTGGAGAAGAGAGGGCCCAGGGGGAATCTCATTATAGTATTCCAGTACTTGAAGGGTAGCTACAAAGAGGATGGAGGATCTCTCTTCCCTAGGAGCCACATGGAAAAAAAAAAGGGCAACAGTACAGGTTGCACTGTGAGAGGTTTCTTTTTAATATAAGTAAGAAATTTTTTAGAGATCAATCAATCAAGCCCTGGAACAACCCCCCAGTGATGTGGTGAAGTCTCCATCACTGGAGAGACAGGGTGCTAAATCATCTTCTCTCTTTCCCATGAAAGGAAGCAGATGATCTTTGAGGTCTTTTCCAACCTGAGCTGTTCCATGATTCTAAAATGCAAGTTATAGACTTCTTGTCTTTAATCGCTTAAGAACAACATTACAGACCACTTCCTTAATTAGTTGTTACACTTTTTCAACCTACAAGTTGACTCATTGAATCATTCAACCTGTATTTGATTCACTGAAGTCATGAAGCACCTGAAGGTGTGAGAGCCAGGCAGCAGGTAAAATTCTCAAGCCCAAGTATCCTCAGTAGTGATTCCACTGACAATCTGGGAAATGCTGACCTCAGATGGGCTGCACGAGAACTATTGTTCGGATTTATAATGGACTATCTAGTCCCTTATGAAAAAGCCAAACTTTTGGGCTAGTACTATCATCCTCTCTGTTGGGGGGAGGTGGGAGGGTGTTTACACTGGATATTAGGAAAAAGTTCTTCCCGTAGATGGTGACTGAGCAATGAATAGGTTTCTCAGGGCAGTGGTCACAGCACTAAGCCTAAGAGAGATCAAGGAGCATTTGGATAACACTCTCAGGCACATGATGGGATTTTGGGCTTGTCCAGTGCAGGGCCAGGAGCTGGACTTGATGATTCTTGTGGGTTTCTTCCAACTTGGGACATTCTATAATTCTGATATCTCCTTGTGAGACATGATGGTTCTTTTGAAAAGAGCTGTCCTGTGGCATCACTGAATCTTCAGACCTTTTGATAACTCATGACTCTACAGCATGAGATGTCTGTAGCTTGAGTAAAAATGTATTTTGATCTTCAGACCACGTAACCCAGAGTGATCATTAAGAGGGCCAATGCAGCAAGTACTCAATGCAACTTGAATCACTTGACAAACACTCCTCATTTTTAGAAATGAGGAGCTATCATTTGGCTTGCTAATCAGGAGCCATCAGACAGAGCACTCAAATCTGGCTGACTGCCTCGCTATACCTTTCTGTTTTCAGAGCTTGCCAAACATATCTAGAAACAGCCAGCACAGAACAAGTCCAATGAGAACAGCAATAGAGTAACACGGAGAACGTGTTAATGGAACGTTCAGAGCCTTCAGCTCTTCCCTCCATGTAGAAGTGCCCAGAGGCACTCATCCTCCCCAGATGGTGCCTCATCAAGCCTTCCAAGCTGTCCTTTCAGCGTACTTGGGAAGATCCCATGGGTTCCAACACACAGCGGTAAGTCATGGACTTACTCTTTTTAGCATGTCAGCTTTATCTAGGACAAAATTAATTCTTAATTAAAGCTATCATGCACAAAAATAAAACACTCCCAAGCTCTATGATTTCTGTTGAAGCAAGGTCTGTATGAAAGGAGAAAAGCCCAATAAAAGGTCTTCTGCTGACATCTCCTAAAGTCAGATAGGAGAACTGCAAGATGCCTTTAAAACTGGCAGGTCTGCATTACGAGAAACTAAAGTTCGGATCCCTACAGCCAGGGATGGAACCAAAGAAAGTCTCATGCAGGGAGCTTGGATTAAAGACTCTCCCCAGCTGCTTCTGTTCATGCTAACAGGTTCTTCGTGCTGTCCGTGCAGCACATGGTGCTTCCACCCAGCTGCCCTTGATCAAGTAACTTTCAAATACTCATCAAGCCTTAATGTGAATGCCCAGTGCTGAAGCCATGAAGATGTGATCAGAGTTAGACTGTGCATCAAACAATATACCTGAGATTACAGAAAATTAAGAAGGGTTTTCTTGAAAGTGCTAAACAACACTGCATAGTGATTTTACAATCTGAAAAGTGATGTCCTGGAAAGGGGCAAAGGTAACTTTACAGCCTAGGTAAAATTAAAAAAAAATAGTATCTAAAAAACCCAAATATAGTATTTTTTTTTCAGACGCATAATGAACCCAAATTTGATGCAAGCATAAGGACAGTCAAAGGACATGAATTACATGATATTTGCTGTATATGATACATAGTGCTGTGAAATACCACTACAACCCATAGCAGCTGCCAATCTCCCTGAGTATCCCTGCTTAACAGTCAGGATAAAATCCTTCAATATTTAGCTGAAAGAACAATCAAAAGAAGCAACTTAATACATAGCCAATACTTAAATCCCACTTTGTCACAAAACCAGCAATATGAAAGCAACAACAGTGTAAAAGCTGTCATGAAACTTGGTGGCATTAGAACAGACATCTGCCACCTTCTAGAGACAAACACGTAGTTTGCAAGACAGGCAGAAAAGGTTGTATCTCCTCTCCCTGATACAAGGGCTTGCAAAAAGGCCATGGTTCAGTCTTGGAGCTTTTTTTACAGATGAGGCTTTATTGCTTCCTTCAGTTCCATGGGTGGCAGAAAAATACTCTTGGAAGACCTGTTTAGCATTCCTAACTGTATTTCTAAGAATATACAGAATGTACCTAGAGTTCAAATAGATTCTTTCATGGAGGTCACAAATCTGTGTATCAAAGCGCTAACAAATGGAATGAAACATCTTGTATCTGTGCTGAGATAGAGTTCAGTCTCTCCATACTAGCCTGCATGGGGCTATGGTTTTGGATTTGTGCTTGAAAGAGTGTTGCTAATACAGGAATGTTTTCATTAGTGCTGAGTAGAGCTTACACAACACCAAAGCCTCTCCTGCTCCTCACACTGCCCCACCAGCAAGTAGGCTGGGGTGCACAAGTTGTTGGGAGGGGACAAAGCAAGGATGGCTGACCCCACCTGACCCAGGGGATATTCCAGACTATAACATAAAATCCTAGAATAGTCTGGATTAGAAGTGACCTTTAAAGACTATCTCATTCCAACCACCCTATCATAGGCAGGGACACCTTCCACTAGACCAGGTTGCTCCAGGCCTCATGAAACACAGTGTAATGCTCAGCAGATAAAGCTGGGGAAGAGGAAGGGGTCATGTTTGGTGTTATGGCATTCACCTTCCCAAGACACCGTTACCCATGATGGAGTCCTGCTCTCTTGGAGATGGCCAAACACATGTCCGTCCATGGGAAGTGGGGAATGAATTCCTTGGTTTGCTTTGCTTGTGTGCACAGCTTTTGCTTTCCCTATTAAACTGTCTTTATCTCAACCCATGAGTTTCCTCACTTTTACCCTCCTGACTCTCTCCATCACTCCACTGGAGGAGGAGTGAGCAGCTGTTTGGGGCTGAGTTGCCAGCTGGAGTTAAACTATGACAATATCACAAGAGGAACTAAAAGTATTGAGGGATCAGAACAAAAATGTTAGTTGTTGCTTATTTACCCACCTCCCTTGCCACCTTCAAAACCTCCCAGTATCACCCAACTTTTCTGTCCCGTTGAGAACTCCTCACAGGATGATTTACCAGCCCTCAAGACTGAAAGAAGGTGGTGGGGGTTGACAGTAAGCTCAGTGATGCTGAAGCAAAGCAGGAGAGCTTTTAGGTTTCTCCTGCTAGATATAACACTGATTTACATAAATCCTTATAACAAGGCAGAAGTACACGTTACATTCTTCTCATATTCCTAAGATTTTATATTGTCCAGTCTTAATCTCCGTCACAATGCTAATGATGAAACAACGGTAAAGTGCTTTCAAAGCTGAGTCTTCAATTTCCACTATGACACACCTTCTGACTAGAGCTGAGATACACTGACCACCTGGCAGCCACTGATGGGGAAAAGGCTTATGCCCATCAGAGCTTGTGCTTGTTCCCTGTCTGGCTACACTATTCTCCCTTCAGCCCCAAGGCCAATTTTGGTGTACTGGAAAACTACAGGCCAGGCTGACCCAACTCTATAATGCAGCAAAACAATTTTCTTTTGACCAGATTAGTTTTCTGAACTGAAGAAGTGAATGGTTTTATATACAACATGGTACAGAAGAACCAGTGCAGTGGCAGGATCACGCATACAGGCATGAAATATACCCTTTTCAACAGAACTAAGATGTTAATTCAGCTTAAGATATAACATGAAACCTCAGCTTGCAAATGCAAGTGTAATTTCCTGTCACTTACTTGAATCCATTCCTGTTCCATCATCCAAAAAACACAGCATGAATCCACCTCTTAGGTCCTCTCGTTGCTCTGCAAGAGAAGGGTCATTCAGTGCTCCCACAAGCAAAAGTTAAAAGTTCCATAAAATGGGATTGGTGTTAACAACAAAAGTAACACAACAAATGGGACTTTCACAACACCAGTATGGCTAAGCTGTAAGAAAGAGCACCGGATTTTTGTTACAGAATGACTAAGAACTTCTGCACTTTACAAGTGTACTGTGATAGCTGATTTCTTAAGCACCCAGTAAAAACTGCAACTCACTTCACCTGACCTCAATTGAAGGCTGACCTAAGTGCTTCTCCAAGGTATTTGTAAAGGTACTTCTTTTTGAAAGGCAACAGGCACTGAGGCGCAGGAGAAATGGTAGTCAAACAGAATTATTTACATTGGAAAAGATCCTGAAGATCATCAAGTCTAACCAAAAACCTAACACGACTGAGTTCACTAAACCATGTCCCTAAGCACCATATCTACATATCTTTTAAATATGGTCAGATGGTGACTCCACAACTGCTCTGGGCAGCCTGTTCCAGTGTCTGACCATCCCTTCAGTGAAGAAACTTCCCCTAGCATCCAATCTAAAAATCCCCTGCCACAACTTGAGGCTATTTCCTCTTGTTCCTATCACTTGTTACCTAAAAGAAGAGCCCAACACCCACCTGGTTCCACCCTCCTGTCAGGGAGTTGTAGACAGCCAGAAGGTCCCCCCTCGAACCTCCTTTTCTCCTGGCTGAGCCCCTCCAACTCCCTCAGCTCCTCCTCACCATACTTGTTCTCCAGACCCTCCCCCAGCTCCCCTGCCCTTCCCTGGACATGCTCCAGCTCCTCCATGTCTTTCTTGTCATGAGGGGCCTAAAACTGACCCCAGGATTGGGGCATAATCACCCGCCCTCTTATTGTATCAGGGACAACACACATTTGCAGCCTAAATCCAAGTTAACTACTGACTTAATTGCTGACATGCAAGGAAGCAGCAGGAGCGACTTACCAGTATAAATGTCTATTCTCGTGGCATCTGCATCTCTACAAAGCAATAAAAACACAATTGTTATTCAAATGTCTAAGAGAAACTAGGCCAAAATCCAGGCACATGTAATCATTTCCAAAATAGGCTGGTTTCACAGATCAAAGTCCACAGACCCACAGCCAGCACTGACAGAAAATTAAAAGGCATATTTTCCTATCTTTTGCCTACTTGAACTTAAACTCTAGCACAAGACATTGCTGGCATACAACCAGATCTGGTGACAGGGAGTAACACTGGCTTTTTAACAGAAGTCATATTGCAGCCAGGGGATCAAACAAGCACACACTTCTGAGCTCCCTCCTGTATGAAACAAACCTACAGTTTTTCTGTCAAGCTGCCTATCAAAGGTTTTCTAGCTCCACAAAAAGCTCCATCCCTATACATACAAGGTTGTTACAGGAAGCTGTCATTGGAAGACCACTGAAGTGAAATCCTTCACACACTGCATCCACCCCTGTATTTGAAAGTCCAGCACTACTGTCCTCTTCTCAAACTAACCTTGGTTTGCTGACCAGAGGAGTGCAGCTATTACGCTGTAACGAAATCCCACTTGACAAATGCCAAAGCCACTGTCATTTTTGTACCTCCAGCCCAGCTGCCTCCTTTCTGGAGGACAACTTCTCCGTAGCCAAAGGAGAACCAAGAGGTCAAGGGGAAACCACCCCAAAGACCCTACTTTTCACTACCTTGTAGCAACAGTGAACACAGCACCAGCCCACAAAGAGCTGATTCCCTACACAGAGGTTTTCCTGCACAGAAATCCCCCAGTTTCAGCTCTTTACATCACGAACTACAGTGTGACAAGTCATGTTTGAGAGAAAACAATTCCAAAATATTTCCGTAATGCCTCTTGAGAGTCCTTGTCCAGCTCAAGAGAAAAGCATGTGAAGCTGGGGATGCAGCTATAGGATAGATTCCCATTTTTAGGGGGTAGATGTGGCAGCGTAAGAAGAGCAAGTGAAATATTCATACTAAATTTCAGCGACTCCTATCTTGTATTTTTTGTAAATTCGATTAGAAGTGAAAATTGCTCAAGATCAACTAATGGCCAGGTGAATTAAATCTTAACCAAAGTTACCTTGGGAATTACATAGTCTCAGGTACGTACCTGGCATTATCTACAAGTTCAGCAAGGGCACCAAACAAGAACTCATGGGTAGTTCTGGAATAAAACACAGAAATCAGCAGGGTTACAGCAACACTTAAAAAGAGAGACCTTTAAATAAACAAGAATCTCAACCACATTTTAAACAAATCCAATCAAATGTCTACCACACTGTCTGGTTGACAGGCTAGGAATGAGCAATTTACTGTCTCCCAGAGGCAGCCAGACAGCAGCCAGGCTTCCTCAAACTGCAGCTCAATATGGTCTAAAACGTACAGCAGGTATGCAGACCCAACAGAGAAAATGATGGACCCAATGAACCAGCCTATGACAGAAAACAATTCATGGAAATCCTTAGTTGACATCATTGAAATCATTGACAGGTCTTTTTAGAGCAACTAAACACTGCCTATATGTAAACACAGACAGGTCAGAGTTATCACACAATCACAGAATGGTTTGGGTTGAAAGGGACCTGAAGGCTCATTTCATTCCAATCCCCCTCCCTGCCATGGGCAGGGATACCTTCCATTATGCCAGATTGCTCCAAGTCCTGACCAGCCTAGCCTTGAACACTTTCAGGTATGAGGTAGACACAGCTGCTCTGGACAACAAGACATAGACAACATTATGCAAAAGGTCAGTCTCTCCCATATACACAGTCTCATTGCTGAAGTTATTTCTGACAGGAAAAAGCTTCGGGATCCTTGGGAGACTTCCAATAGCTGCAACTGCTGCTAATCCAGACAGCCTTCTAACACCACTGTACCACAACACCTTCCCAACTCCATGCTAAAATCATGAACCCAGCTACCACTTCAGCACAATCTCAAGAGCCACGTTTAGTTTCCAGCCTCTTAGCTGCCATGTCTTAGAAGCAGCTTGGAAGCCATTAGTTATGTGCCTCAACACTGAAGGAAGATACATGGTGAGAAACCTTAAGGAGCTAATAAAAATCATTACAATATATTGTCTGCCAATGTAAATGCCATATCTCTGCTTAGTGCCCAAACTGGCAACCTGGCTTCAAAATCTAACAATTATTTCAAACGTAGATGAGCCTTACTGACCGTAATATTAACAGCAGCTGTAAGACCTGAAGAAATAGCTGCTGGGACTTGTTGCTCCTGTAAGATGTTTGATGGAGAGATCAAGGCCTCAGAAACTGGTTTTATCAACGTCTTTCAGTTTGCACAAAGCCCTCCCAAACAACCTGTTCTCACTACTACACAAACAGGCCAACAGGTGACTAAACAGAAGATACTTATTTCTATTTTCAGCTTTACCAGAACAGACACATAGGTACTTCCCACATATAAAATACATAGCAGTCCACACTGCTAGTAACAACAAAATGAGCTTTCGTATCCATCTTCAATGTCATCACACCAAACCCACCAACTCAGCTCCAGTCAGAGGTAAAACACATCAGCCTTCAAAGTTATCACTAGGACCATGGGAATCAAGATTTCCATCTTTGCAAGCTCCCACTTGCCCATGCAGAGACAAGACAGATGGGAATAGTGTTTAGAAGACTATCTATCCAATCAGAAAGCTTCTACAGAAATGCAATCCTGCTGTTTTTTCCTTTGAGCGAGATTTCCTGCTGTCCTGGTTTCAGCAGAGTAGAGTAAATTTTCTTCTCAGTAGCTGTTACAGTGCTGTTTTGGATTTAGTGTGAGAATAACATACAGATATTTTGGTTGTTGCCAAGCCATGAGTACCGTAAGTCAAAGACTTTTCAGTGTCCCAAGCTCTGCTAGTCAGCTGTGCAAGAACCTGGGGGGGGACCATAGTCAGGACACCTGACCCAAACCAGACAGAGGGATATTCCATACCACGGAATATCCTGTTCAGTGTATAAACCGGAGGGAGCTGGCCCAGAGGGGCCAATCCCTGCTGGGAGATGGACTGGGCACAGGTCAGCAGAGGCTTAACAATTGTACTGGGCATCATTTGACTTTCTTGGGCTTTATTCCTCTCTCTTTCCTATTATTACCATATCTTAATTTACTTCAATTTTTGAACTGTTCTTATCTCAGCTCATGGGTTTTAACCTTTTTCTAATTCGCCTCCCCATTCCACTGGGGTAGTGAAAGAGAAGTTGCGTGGGACAATTGCAGATTTCAAGCACTCTTGAGTTTACAAGCAGCTACTCAGCTCCACAAACCAACATCCCAGAAGTTTATTTAGGAAGTAACCCGTAAGCAAATGGATGCTTTAGCATTAGTAACTACGCTTCATTAGCAGTTTTTACTCCACAATTTAAAGAATACTTCAAAGACGCAAATAAGATACAAATAAGGATTTCCAAAGAAAGATGCTGGAACAAAACAGCGGACAACAGCTGTAGGTGGTAAAAGAGGCAAGAAAACATCTCCACGTAGCCTGACACCATACTGAACTTGAACATCTCCCAAAACTGCAACCTCTCAAGCTGACAAAGGGAAACCATGCTACAAGCAAGTGAAATTCACTCCAGCTATTTATCACTAATAAAAATGAATATAAAGTATAAAGATCTTCAGTTTATGAATCTCAACACACTTGTCACTATCTAACTAAAGTCACGTGAAGTGCTTTGGCCTGGTTCAATCAACTAATTTTAACAAACCCCATAGTCTTGTCTTACAGTCAAGAATGCCTCAAATACTTCACAACCAGCACGATCAACTAATGATAATTTCTCCCACCTCTCAAAAAAAGTTTGGGATTACTTTACTTGCAACACAAGTTTAAAAAACACGAGGCAAGCTCTTGCCAAAATGAAGTCTTTTCAGAGCTTCAAGTAAACTGGAAATATCTGAGCATAAGTTAGACAGCAACCAGCATCAGAGCGTTTGAAATACAACTACTACTGGTCATACAAGAGATAAAACAACACATGGAAGGGAGGGAAGTGTTATCAAAATCCAGAGTCTCAGCAACAGCTCATCTTTGGCAGGTAGACTGGCTCAGACCTTCCCATAACTTCTATTTGAGCCAGCTCCATGCAGGAGCACAGGCTTGACAGGGAACAAACAGGCAGTCCAATGCTGCTAATTTATTGAAACATAAGTTACAAAAGGTCAAGTCAGACTGCTCCAGAACATGACTGGCTTCAAACATCTCTACAAACAATCATTTGGAGTAATGCGCCAAGAGAAGCTAAGCTTGTCTTGTGAGCAGTTCCTACAGGATCACCCCTCTTTGAACCCAGTTTGACTCTGGACCCTGCATAATCAGACAAGTACCTAATTACTAATGAGACACATAAGACTTCAATTTTGTTCTAAAAGAGGTCACATCTGGGAAAATGTGGGGTTTTCTTTGCACGTGTGTTAGGAACAGGAGCTATCCTCTTAGTACTCTGCACTCCTTTTCAGGCCAGAACAGAAAACAAACACAAGAAGCAGCAGAGTTTGGAGGGTGGGGAGATGTTTGTAGTCTATTATTACTAGTTTTCCTCAAGCCCACCATTCAGTCATCTTGAAGTCTGTCTGAGTGACCTTCTTCCATTCCAGCTGTATTCAATGGGACAAGTCTAGTTACAGGAAACCATTAAAGTTCCATCACAAGCTAAAGGCTACCTACCGCTAGAACACAATTTCAGGTGTTTGACTTTTAACAAACTCCTTCAGATGTTTATTACAAATATTCAAAATATACAGACAGAAGTTCTTTGGGCTCAGGTCTGCTTTTGGGTTCATCTCAATGAATGACTTTGGAAGTATCCTAAAGTAGGAGCATTTAATTCTTAAGGAAAACCAATGTGAAGGCAAGCAGATGGCTCTGCGAAGTCATAAAAACAATGCACAGGTAATTTTCACGTGCTTATGTACAGTGGTTTTCATTCTAGGATCCAAAAGGACTTTCACACAGAATCATAAGGGTTGGAAAAGAACTTTAAAGGTCACCTAGTCCAACACCGCTGCCACAACCAGACACCTTTCCCTAGCCCACGTTGCTCCAAGCCCCGTCAAACCCAGCCTTGGACACTTCCAGGGATGGGGCAGCCACAGCTTTTCTGGGCAATCTGTGCCAGAGCCTCATCATCATCTCAGCGAAGAAGTTCTTTCTTATATCTAGTCTAAATCTACACTCTTCTAGTTTAAAACTATTATCCTCTGTCCTGTTGCTACAGGACCTACTAAAAAGTCTGTCCCCCCTCAACTATTCATCATCTAAAGTGCCTGGAAAAGCACAGTGGTGTTTTTATTTTAAAAAAAAATATGGTAACTGAAATTATTCATATACATGCTGTGAAACTTGCTATCACACACAGAACCATTAAACAGCTATTGTAAAGATCTGCTGCAAGTCCTCAAGTTCAGAGACCAGATCAACGGTCTCCTGCAAAGCACTTCAGACTGAGTGTTCTGGGTTAGACATAACAAAACTTCTCCTAAAAAAGGTCTTACAAAAGAAGAAAAAAAAAAAAGTCATGGTTTCCTTCTGCACTCTAACAGCCAGATGGCTGGCCTTTAACTGCAATTTGAAGAACTTCTACCTCTTTGACTATTAGAACACTTTTAGCACTGAACTAGAATTTATCTGGGATGGGATGGTCTTCCTCGGCAAGAGAGAAATGTCCAAAAGACCAGTCTCCTCTATGAAAAGCCCTATGCTGGTTTTGGGCTGTTTTGAGGTATGGGTGTGGTTTTTTCGGTCATTGTTTTGTTGGAAGAGCACGAAGGTTGTTTGTGATGGCTTGGTTTGGGGTTTTGGTTTTAAATGACTTCCACTGTTTCCATTCCCATTCTCAGGGAAGCATTTGGCTTATGCACTGATTCCCATAATCTCAGAAGGCTTTTTGCTCGTGATGGACAAGAAGCCCCAGCTTTGTCTCATCCAAGAATCAGCTTCCAGCTCCTCCCAACAATTTGGTCATGCAGGTATCACTGCAGACATACAGAACACCACAAGCAGACCAGCAGCATAAGCACAGTGGCAACATGAAGTAGCTTTAATATACTTGAGGACAGCATCAACACCTCAGTCTTTTCTGCAGCACAGATGTTATCTTCTTAAAAAGAGTTCTGGAGTTCTGAAGGCAAACACAAACTTCTGACTGAGCTCTACCATACAATCTTCTAATCCATAAAAAAGACCGTCTTTTGCAGCTGGACACCAGAATTTCACAAATCACCACAGCACTAGGACATGACTCAGTATTGTCCACCTTCAGGCATCAGACTGTTCACTCTCCACCAGCTGGGCCAGAGAGCAAGGCCACAGGACACAGACCCAAGGGTGATATGGAGCTGTTACTAGGTTTATTCTCCTGTACAACAGCCCTTTGCTTTTCTGATCCTGAAAAGAAAGGGACCGTAATGTTCTTGGCATACATATGAGAGATTAGTCTTGGTTGTTCTTGCAGATGAATCTTGTTTACCAACAAAACCAGACAGATCTACTTTGAAATCAAGTTGCTCATGTCTCTGTGCCATCTGCAAACCCCTGTGGTCCTTCACAAATTGAAAAGGGAAGCAAAAAGCTAAACTTGCACTTAGTTTCTTCTTCTATTGATGGATAACACTAAGAGTCAATTCTTCCGCAGAACATCAGGGGACAATCTTAGGCTGGTGACCAACTCATCAAAATGAAGTAATGCCAAGTGTGGTTCCACACTGTTCTTCCAGGTCAATTCGGGAAGAACAAGTACTTTCTTTCATTTTCTCTGTACGTGGCAACTACAAGGCTTAGGAGTGGCAGGCAGGTCTCAACAGGTGCCTGACCCCACAAAGCACTGTTTTCTGGTAGTGCTTCCCATTTTCTAGACATGTACTCAGAAGAGCCTCATTTTAAACAAGGGCTTTGCCTCTTCTCAGGATGTGTTATTTTGGGGATTCATTGGTAACATGCAAAAATCTGATTGGAAGAAAACTGTCACATTCCTGTTGAAAATAAACCTGCACAACACATGCGGGCATGCACGAAGCCAGATGCCACAGTGGGATGGCGGTTGGCACAGCAGCGCATGTGCTGCTCACAGAGGCACGGCTGCAGGGGTCGGGCTGCCCGAGGGGCCCCTCCGTTCCCCCCAGGGCCTACCGTCCCCACACACCGGCTTTCCATGACCCGTGGACCCGCCTACGGTGTGACAGCCGGGCCTGGAGGGACCACGAGGTGCCCGGGCCAAGGGCAGGGAGACCCCTCTGCCCGTCGGCCCATGCGGCTTCGGCCGGGCGCACCACGCTGACCCGTCGCCCCAAGAAGGCCAGGTGTCGCGGGCCCGCCCCGCCGCAGCCGATACTCACGAGTTGGTGTGCAGGTACTCGAAGGTGAGCTGGGCTCGGTTCAAGCTGCTGTAATTGCCCAGGGACATGGCGGCGGCCGTCACCGGGGCCGGGCTCGGGCCCCGACCCGCGCCGCGTGCGTCGGCGGTCGCGCGCGCCTCGAGGCCTCCCCGCCCCCTGCCAGTCACAGTCCCCGCAGGGCGGCTGGCGCTGTGCCGCGCTGTGCCGCGCTATGCCGTGCCGTGCCGTGCCACCCCGCGCCACCCCGCGCCACCCCCACCGCTGCCCCCCCACGCCCCAGGCCCCGCTTTGTCTCCGCCGCGCCGCGACCGCTCCCCGCGTTGCCGCAACGGCCCCCGCGGGGGTGGGGCCACGCGGCCACCACCCATTGGCCGGGCCGCGGCACGTGACGGGAGGGTCCCGGCGCGGCCAATGCGGGCTCTGCGCCATCGCGTGAGGGGCGCGCGCGGCCGGGAGGGAGCGGCTGCGGTGAGCGGTGAGCGGTGAGCGGTGAGCGGTGAGCGGTGAGCGGTGAGCGGTGAGCGGCTGCGGTGAGCGGTGAGCGGTGAGCGGTGAGCGGTGAGCGGCTGCGGTGAGCGGTGAGCGTGCGGTGAGCGAGTGAATGCACGGTGAGTGCGCGGTGGGTGAGCGAGCGCGCGGTGAGAGAGTGAATGCACGGTGAGTGCGCGGTGAGCGGGGCCGCCCCGGGACCCCCATGGAGCTCCCCCCCCCGCTCGTAACATTCCCCCGGGACCCCAGGGGACTCCTTCCCCAGGCTCCGCCCCGGCGGCAGCCGCCGAGCACCAGAGCGCCGCGGGAGCGGCCGCCACGGCCTCCCTAGGACGGCCGGGCCGGAGGCCGCGCGGTGGGGCCGCCCGAGGCCGCCCGGCAGCGAGAATCATGTCCGGCCCTGGGCGGACGCGCCGGAGCGGGGCGGCCCCATGGCCGCGGGGCCGGCGAGGAGCGGGGGTACCCCAGTTGACGGTGACCGCGGAGTGCCGGAGCGGAGCAGGGGAGGCCCCTCATTCCCAGACGGTGGGAGCGGCTCCGAAACGCAAGTGGATGGGAGGATCCCGCCGCTGAACCCCTCCGGAGGCTCTGCGCGGAGCTCGGCGGGCGGCGGTCCCGCGGTGCTGGTGAAGGCTCCAGGAAGTCACCGAGGAGAAGCGCCTGAACGTGCCCGTACTTACTAGAAAACATTAATAGAGACGGTTTATAAAATCGTTCTTGCTTCAGTCCTGTGTCTTTCGTTCATCTTGAAATGCCAAGGGATTGAGCTCAAGAGCTGTCCTCTCTGTGTCCTGCAGACACCTTGTGCCCCCAAACTATAGCCTGAACCCAGAAGCCCAGAAGGCCACGAGTACTTTGCTGAACACTTGAGTGGAGTAACACACCCCATTTTCCTTCTGAAATGGACACTGAAAAAAATGGCTACTTCTCCCGTGTCTTGGATAATAGGAATCTGAACTAAAGATCCAAAACTGAAGGAATTCAGTCTGTGCAGAAATTGATGTGGTGTATTTCTTCTTGAAGAATGTCCAGCAAGAATTAAACGTGTAAGATTGCAGATTTATAAAGAATAAATATTATTTGATATTTTATTTATAGGACATCATGGGGAAAAGTAAAGAAAGAAGCACTTTATCTGAAGATTTTCCAGCAATAAATCTAATACATCAGGAAAAAAAAAAAGTATGGGAGTTGGGAAGGGAAGGATATGAGGTGACTTTAGTGCAGCCTTTCAGTACCTGCAGGGGCTCGAAGGGAGCTGGAGAGGGACTTTGGACAAGGGGAATGGCTTTAAACTGGAGGGTAGGAAGACATTGTCCCCTGTGAGGGTGGGGAGGCCCTGGCACAGGTTGCCCAGAGAAGCTTTGGCTGCCCCATCCCTGGAAGTGTCCAAGGCCAGGTCGGACGGGGCTTCAAGCAGCCTGGGCTAGTGGAAGGTGTCCCTGCCCATGGCAGGGGGTGGGATGAGATGAGCCTTCAGGTCCCTTCCAACCCAAACCATCCCATGACTCTGTGGTATCCAAGCTAGGTGGTGAAAAGTCAAATCTGTTAATCATGATTGGTGAATGGTTAAAACCTGAGTTTCATATTTGAGGTTTTTGGCCCTCATCCCTAGTGGTGTATGAGCCTGTTCTGCCACGTCTATAGCTTTGGCCTGAGAAATTCACTTGCCAGTGCAGCATTTAGTTCTGTTCATTCTCAGTTCAGCCTGTTCACATCTAAAGATGCCTTCAGGCCAGGAAGTTGTGTCCTTCCTGCTGACAGGAATTTCTCTGTATGTTCTTGTGTAATCATCAAAAGAATCAATGCGTACGTGCGTGCAGGCCTTATCTGAAAAGCTGCACACAGCAGGACATCAAAGGTGCATGAAAGAATGGGGAAAATTACTGGCAAGAACTGTACTTACGTGTCATTAGGTTTATGACAATAATCAACATGCGTCTTTTAAGGATTGTAGCATCATCTGTTGTGCTCAGCTTTTATTTTTTCACCTTTCAGTCAATATAAGCAGCAGATGTTCAAAAGCAATATAAATCCCATCAGCATAAAGGCAAAGTAGCTACCCAGATACATGTTCGTGAGGAACATGAACCTGAACTTAAGCATCTCATCAGCCTTGTCCTCTTAGGTACTCTAAGCATCTCTGTTCCTAGCATCATCTTGCCTTCAGGGAGGAACTAGTGTTCCTTTCCTGACATTGGAGAGATTGACAACATCATCCTAGTACTGCAGTGCTGTGGAACAGAGCAGTTGGACACCTTGCTGCTCCTGTGAGATCTGACCTGTTTCAAGGGAGGGCTGACTGGATGCCAGTCCTTTTCACGCGTCCCTTGGGAGAAGACCGGTACTTGGCAGTTCCATTTCATTTTCCCAGTCCCAAGGCAGGAAATTGCTCATTTTCATCCTGCTACTTGGTGGTGGTGAATTCCATGTCTTTTTTATTTCCTTTGATGAAAATGAAGTGAAAATTAAATTCTTACACTTTCCATAGCTGTTCTGCAGTAGGTTTCAGGCATGTTACTGACTCCTGCTTTTTGGTCTCTTTTGCCCAAGTCTAGAAAGGATTGTATCTTTCTTTGTTTGCTGACTCTCTGAACCACCAGACTTTGTTCCAAGATGTAATGAAATGAATTTACCTTTTGCAAAGCACCATTTGGATCAGGCCATAGCTCTGCCTTGGCCATGGCAGAGCTATGCTTTGGTAGGAACCTCTCTGTCTGTGGATGGAGAGATAACAGACTCATTCAGCCTGTGTGCTGCTGCTGCAAATTGCTGAATTCATCAGTATTTTGGAGATGGAAGTCTTCCCACTGCAAATTCACATTTATCCTCTTTTGGGGCAGCACTTTTATGTTGGAAGCTCTCTCCCCAAACTTTGTTTCCATAGTTGTAGGTCTTTCAGATATACTGGTTATGACAGGCAACCTCGGGTTTTTTTCCTTCTGCTACTGGAACCATTTCCATGACTTTCTGTTCAGCACCAGGTCTCCTCAGTATCTCTTACATGTATCTATACATATATCAGCAATATCTCTGCAAGATCTCATACAATAATGGGCAAAACAAATCTGGCTGCTCAGGTGTCACAGGTAGTACCCCCCCACACACCCTTGAAGGCTCTCAGTGCAGTAGAAAGCAGCAGTTTGCTCTGGTGCACGTAACTTTCATGATAAATGACCTGTGGGTTGGTTGGTTGTCCAACCTGTACGTGTTGAGGTTAGGGCAAACTGTACTGCTCTTCTTTAAGCCTAAGGCTGAGTTTCTTACTCTGAAATAATCCCCAAATCCCCTTGTAAAACTAGTCTTGATTCCACACTGGTCAAAGTCTGTGTTTCTAGACTGTGGTATGAGAGTTCCTGTGCAGTCCCATGTGGTGGTTGCTGGGTCCTTACCCTGGCATGGTGTTTTGCTAAGCCTCTTTCCACTAAGTCCAGGCCATAGCCTGAGATTGTTGAATAGTTTATTTATGTGGCCATTGTTCTGCAAGTTGAAGGTAACTGCTTCTACACCTGTGTGAGCCTTGAGTCAACAATTATTCCTTGTCTACCCTATAATTTAAGAAACCAGATTTCCAAGCCAGTATTTAATGCATGAGTCACCATGGCAAGTACTAGATTATGAACCAGACAAGTGCTATGAGTGCAGCAAAGTATCTTCTCCCCCATGAGGTCTCCTGAGTTAACTGTTTGTGGCTTCATTACGTGTTTATGCACATGAAGAAATGTAAACCTTTGTATTGTAGAAATGGGGTTTTCACTGTCAGAGTGAAATAATCTGCGGGCAGTGGAAAAAAATATGAGAGATCACCAGTATTCCTCAGGGGTTTACTGGTCCTTCCTTTATCCTTCATTTTTATGGAAGGAAAAAATGGTATTGCCTTTGGGTGCAAGGTCCTCTGTATATGTCATGACAGAAGCTGCTGAAGTTCTAGGTTGGTGCTGTTCTACTGAGTGTTCACCTTGGTACTTCTTAAAAAGTTGGATGCAGTTACAGGCATAGTAACTGGGATCTCTTTTCCATTGCCCTGAGTTTATAGAAGGAATTTCAAAGCACCTTCCTTTAATGGGCTGTGAAATCGTCATGTTGCCTTGCAGCTTTTTGGTTTGTTCCGTCATACTGTGCCACGTGCTGGCTCTGCTGCGTGATGAGTCCTGATGATCTGTCTGTACAGAATGGGAACTTCGTCCATGAAATACATTGCTGCCTTCAAACAGCATGAGGTGTTCTTCTTTAAATCAGGCGTACCGATCTCACAGAGAAGTACCTGCATTATTCATTAAAACATTCTGCCTTTTCTTGGGCATGAGTTGCATCTCTGTGTCAACTCAATACAAGGCAGGAACACAACCCTGAACTCAAGAATTTAGAAGGAAGTGTTTTTCTGCTGGCTTCTCTTAGTAAGAAGTTATTCCCTGTGTGACCTGGGACAGCCCTGTTTCTTGTGTTTGTAGCCACATCTTCCCAGCCTCTCCATCATTCATGTCAACTAGCAGAACAGTTTGCTGACTAAATGTAATAGAGTCATGAAGTGAGATGTCTCTTCATGGAAGTGTCTTTTTTTCTATGCTGGGAGGTCTAAATAATGCCATTCTTCTTGTCTGGAACAGTAATTTAATGCACAGTTGGTGTGTCAGTCCTCACAAGACATGCAGGCCAAGATGTTCAAAGGCAAGATGTGTGGTAGGTACTGGCATAA